TTTGGGTTTAAGCAAAATGGTTTGTGATGTCTGTGGTGGACCCCAGCACCATGGCGTAATCTAAGGTACGCCATATGTGGCCCAATGGAAGGCACTCATGCAGGTATCACTGCGCTCCGTGGAGGTTAGTGTTCCGCTAAGTGCTAGAAAGAGAATTGCTGGTCCTGTCAGCAGTGCACTTCTAATATATGGCGAGGGGCGTAGAGCCGGTGCCCTAACAAGATGAGGCAGCGTCTTTATGCGGGTAGCTTAGCAGCAAATTACAACAAGATTTTTCGAGCACGTATCCCGTCATACTGGCTCTATAACTGATTTTTAAATACATATATTTGATAGGGCCTACAGGCAAAAACGGCAGGAATGGGCAAATGTCCGGTATGAATTCGCCACTGCGCTAAATAATGACGAGCTGCCAGCAAGTTGGCCAGCTGCTGGGCGCGCAGTATTTCGTGTTAAGCTGGTTCCCGGGTCAGAACAGAGCTGTGTTTCGCGATATCAAAAGCTTCCACTGCATAAAGAGGAAACTGAGCGGCAGTTGGCTGGTTTTCTAAAGAAAGACGAAGTGCAGGAATTGAGCAACGCCTCTTTTGGGCACAGGCCGGCGTCCGTGCCGAAAAAGGAAGAAAAATGGCGCATGGGTTATCGTTACGCCACTGCACAAGATTACCCCAAATCAAGCGCTCTAGGTGCCTCATATCAGCGAAATATCCGAAAAATTACACGGATAAAATGTTTTCTCGGCATTTGATTTCACAGACACTTTCTTGCATTTCCCTATTCACCTTGACTGCAGGTATAAAACAGCGTTTAGTATTCGCACTTTCAAACTCTAGCTCTCTAGCTCACCTTTATGCCGTTTAGACGTTTAACAACCCAGATACACTATAACGCTTTGTTCAAAGAAATCCGTATGCACCTATCAAGGGTGGGTAGATGGCTGTGTACATGGAAGACGTCTTAGTATTCAGCCGAAACGCTCGCGAGCAGCAACATTAAATATGCCGCGGGCTTCAGCTGCTAAGGGCCAAGCAGTGGTGCGCGAGGGAACGCAAGTGTACCTCTAGTCAGAACAATTGTGTCTCCGGGACTCGTTTTTCGGATGCATGAAATGAGCCAAATCCGGCAGAAACCAAAACAAGGCGGGGCTTTCACCTTTACACGGCCCCACGGACACATCAAAGCTCCATAAAACACAAAAATTATCCGATTATTTGTTTGCATCGCTGTTCTTCTGGCTAATCCACGTTATAAAATGCAGTTAATGACCTTGGCAGAGGAGGCTGATGCTGCAACAAACACGCTTAACGGCCACCCCACAACTCCTTTAGTACTTGCGCTGCCCGTTTTCATCAGTGTCGTTTCTTCCTTTCAACCAAACTTATTGGCGCACCAGTCAGAGGTATTTTTTCTTTACAGGCTACCAAATGTTCAAAATACCCAGTTGTTGATTTTTTTCTCACTGCTTCACCTAAACCGAGCAGGGGTATACAGTGCGGAAAAAGGAACTGTGCGCGCTGTGGCGGGGCACGGAATATGTCACTATTTACAGGGGGGCTACGGCACTGTCCACACCGACCAGTCTTTGATGTACTTTACAAAACGTTTTTAAGACTTTGATAAACCTAGTGGTTCGCCGCCTCAGGTGCTCCCTGCAGCACTCTGTGTAGTGAACTGTCAAGAGCATTCCCAACGGTCTCCAAGGCACTCTAGCGAAGGTACATGAATTAACTATTGTGCAGTGCAACAGCTCTGGCATGTAATGACTCACGTCTTCTATCGGAATTGTGTAACACTAGTGCTTTGTGCACCACATATCCATAACTATTGTAAAAAGCCAGAACGCCAAAACGTAAAGCTCTACCCCGTGAAAACTGGCAGCTTATGGCTCAAATAGCGACGACCTCGTCGCTTGTGCATACTGACTTCGCTCTGCAGTTCTGTTTGGCACAAAATGCCTTTGCATTCAACTTTCGTGCCATGACAGAGTCCACTGTACACTGGAGACATTTCATGGTTTATCCGGTGGCCTGGGATGCGTCCTGCGGGAGAGGAGTATGCAGTGTCAAGCAGATATTGTTAGCAGCTCAAATCACGCAATTCTCCTAAACCTGAAGCTTCTGCGTAGCCTTCCGGGCTCTTGAACGATTTTACTAATTTGACTATGGACTTCTTTAGTTGACTGCAGCGGTGAAGAGTCAGAACAGCAAGTGCAACGTTGCTGATCGACTCAGAAAACATGCCCACTTCATTCCTTCCTCCCGCTCTGTCACGGCTCAGAAATTCGCTCAATAACTCTTGTCTTATGCGCGTAAGCTTAAGGGGGTGGTCAGAAGTATTCTTGCAAATATTAAGCTGAAATTTGTTGATGCGTTCTGGCGTGCCTTCGTGACTCCCCTACACATTGCCACAATGTGCCCCCTGCGAACCACCCTGAGGCAGATGAACAAACACAACGAACCAGCCACACTCTTCTGCGGCATTTAGTTTCCGTGCTCACAACAATATAATTGCTTGTTTCGTGTGCAGCATGGGTTGACAATACAGTCGTACATTCGTGTACTTGCTGCTCTTCCGCATACGTGTTTGACAGTTAGAAGTTCCCCTCCGGTCCGGGCGTAGACTTGATGGTCCAGGGTCAGCAGCCACCTGCAGCAGCGGAGGTTGTTTGAAATGTAGATGGTAAATGCATGTGAATGTCTGTGCCGAGGTCGAGGAAGGCAATCACGAGATCTTAATAAGCGGCGGTCGGCGGTATGGTTTGAGCTGGGAGACGTGGTCCTGGTTGACCGGCCGTCTTTGTAAGGTGTGCAGAAAGTGACCAGACGAGGACATGTTACTGCCAAGTGACTTGGGTCATTTTTTATCCTTGCACAAATCAGTGCTCTTCCTTACTCTATTTTCTGCCCTCAGAAGTTGGGGGTTCCACAGAACTATGAATATTGGACTGCTAAAGCCGTTTCGAGACTCTTCCAACCTGCACAGGTGACCCATGTGGAGGCGGAGGACCCATAGGGAACTGCAGAGGTGCTGGGTTGTAGGATTAGTGAGCCCCGAGGATACAATGTATGGGTTTATCTAGTGCAATAGGGTGAGAAAGGCTTACCGCACTGTTTGACGTAACAGCATATGTGGGCTTCCTTGCATGTGGGAGGACTCGCCGCTCTGTTTCGTTTACGCTAGTCACCAGGCATGGTATTCCTCGCGATGATTGTTCTTTCTCTATGCATGCCTTGCCTCAAACAGCTAAATTAGGTGTGGACGCTGCTTGGAAATCACCACTTTCTGATGTGGAAGGTTCCTGTAGACAGAGTAATGCGCAGGCACTCTCACGTATGTTGTCTCTACATTCTTCTGCGTGTTTTAAGGGGCTTTGAAACCCACAATGTTGCATGCACCGGCTGTTTGTCCATGCAGACATTCCATTATAAGGCACAGAGGCTCTGCTGCACTAGTGTGGGTTTTGATTCCCCTGTTCATGTTGATTGCCCTCAATTTTCCTGAAGCAAAAGGATTAAGCCTTCAGCGCTACTGAAATTGAGGCATTGCACCGACTTGGTCTTTTTGGTTCGGGCCCCCGTTCGTTGTTTGGTAATGTGCGTGTTTCGTCCCGTCGGTTTCACGAAAGCGATTGACCCATACGTCTGTTTTTTTTCATATGCACTGATTTCACGTTCTGCCTGCCTGGGTAGTTATGAGGGGGCGAGGAATATTCCGGTTTTCCGCATGCATTTATTCTCGGCGCAGAGGTATAAAACACGAGGCCGTGTTTTTCAAAAAGGGAGAAAGGTGTGTAGGGCTGAGCTTCATTTTAAGGCTTTCTAGTGCAGTTGTATTTCAGTTGAGAACTAATGAATAATTGACTATCAGCTCGCCTGCCCACGCATTTTATACATGGTTCTTAGGAGCTTGATACAACGAGGCGCAATTTAGTGTTTGTGCACTAGAATTCACTTGCAACTAGCTGTGAATGCTGAGCATACCTAAAGGGTGGTGCTGTACTTGCCGTAACTGTGGCTCTCTCTCGTGCTGGGAACTGTGAGGGCGCACGCAGGGGGAGGCTACAGTTGGCATGAGAATCGCCCAATAACTTTTTGTGAAGTTTGAGATTAGAAAGAAGTGAAGGGTCTCCCTGGGTGTGACACAGACTGCGTATGTGTTGCACCCGTGCGTACAGGCCGCACCGAAACTCCCCATTACCCCAGAAGCCGAGTAACTTATAATAAAGGTGGTCTATTAATAAATATTATCCGAATGGTGGATTTGCGCTGCTCATATCGACCGATATCCATCTTTGATGGATGTGCTGGCACAGCTAGCAGCGCGAGGCGACAAATTGTCATTGGTGGCTGTGACCTTATATGAGATTTTGCAATATTAAATTGACTAAGTTCATTGTTTTTCTGTGTGGAAGGGGCAATAATACAGATCGTCATGGTGCGCATATATGCGGAAGACAGCGGTGATGCATGCACAGGACCGCATGGCTCGACGCGTAATGTTCATCGCAAGTCCACCCATCAGAATGTTGGCAGTTTCCCTATATTAAGCCTTTGAGAATGAAAAGTGAGCAGAGGCGAGTCCGCCGACTGTGGGTACACTTGAATTTCGCTGCTTCCATTTCATGGCGCTGGCGCCCCTGCTCCCCCGTTAGTGACTCCAATTGAATTGTTCTGGTTTTCTGTTTCGCTGCATCTTAGCACGTATTCTCCAGCACACAAGGTTGCCTAGGGTTTTTGTTGTGGCTCGTTTCCCTCAGTCTTGATGGTTCTTGCCTCCCCTGCTTTTACAGCTTCTAGCGAAAAGCTGAATATTCATGAGACTTTGGGTGTATTAATCCATTTTTGAGTCTCTCATCCACTTTAGTCTCTTTTTTGTGCATTTGTGGCGTCTATTCTTCGATTAGCCCTCGCGTGCAGCTGCTGCTGGCTGCCTTGTCGTGCAGTTACTGGCAGTATCGTTTAGTCTTCTGAAGGTGTCTCCGCGTCCTCCATCTTATCAAGATGGACAAGGACAGTGACAAGCAACCGCTTTTGAGTGAGGAGCCTGCTATGGAGAATGCAGCCGCAGCAGCAGAACAAAGAGAAACAAATGACAGCCCGGGGGTGGCTTCCCGAAGCGTAGAAAGCAGCAAAAAGGACAAGCAACAAGGTGAATCCCGTGCGTCTCTCGAGAGGATGGCGGATAAAAGTGGAGAATCGGCGCCTCTTCGTTACGCTGCTCCTCTTGGGGGCCGCAAAGGGGCCTTGCTGCGGTCTCTGCCCGTCCTTTTTGTACTATCGCTCGTGTCTGTGGTCGTTTCGGTGTACATGGCCTTCCACATCGCGCCCCTCATTATGCAGCATGAAACAGATAGAGAAGGTTTCTCTCGAGGTCTTGGGGAGCTAATTGCCTTTGGTTTTCTCTTTGTAGCTTTTATGGTTTGTTTCGGACTAAGCGTCTTTGTCCACCCGGGCAGCCCAAGTGAAACTGAAGGAGAGGCTTCAGAGTCCCTTAATGCAGTACGTCATTTTCTTTCGGGCTGTATGAGGCCACCAGAAACGTCGACAGCCGCAGATATGTCCGACCAAACTATGGCCATTCGAATTTTCCCTCCTGTGGCACATTCTCAGCTGTGTGGAACCTGAATGTTCCCCGAATACATTGCTTCAGAACGATTTTGCCTGTGGTTTCTGCAGGAGATGAAGGGCAGTGGAGGTATTCGCGTGTGCAAGTGGTGCGGAATCGTGAAACCGGACAGAACGCATCATTGCCGCGTGTGCAGGAGCTGTATCTTGAGGATGGATCACCACTGCCCTTGGCTCGCGAACTGTGTTGGATGGGGAAATCATAAATATTTTATGCTTCTTCTGTTGTACGGAGCGCTTACGTGTTTATTTGTCGGCGCAACTATGGTCGAGTCTCTCATCAAAGTCGTCCGCGAACCAAAGGTGGGCTTTTACATTCGACATGGCATCAATGGAGCTGCTTTTGCCGTTTCTGGAAAAGCAATTTGGTTTCTATGCGTGCTCTCGGTCTCGGCGTAGAGCTATCGCATTTCTGTTCCCTGCACAATGTAGCATCGAAAGAGGAGCGTTGCACTCCCGCAGAGATGCAGCGAGCCTGTCGGTGTCTGCATGCTGGTTTTGATGCCGTTGCTGTTTCTCTCTTGGTGCCGGTCTTGGCGCATCCGCTTCCCTCTTGTTCGTGTTGCACGCATGCTGCTGTCGCTGCAGTTTTCCTTTGCTGTGTGTGCGCGGCACTGTGTTTTGTATACTTTTCTTAAGGCGGAGTTTGGTGAGATGTTTGCCTTGTTGCTGGGATCTACCTTGGACTTGCTCCTCTTTGTTGTCCTCCTGCTCTTTGGCGCCTTCCACGTATACTTGCTCGCGAAAGGCATGACGACAATCGAATTTTGCGAAAAACGATTGCGGCGAACGGAGCAGCAACCTCCACCGGTAAAGCTGTCGCACGAAGGGCGGCAAAGGGCTCTGAGGGCAGCTGACTGACGCACAAGATGGCCTTCGCCGTGTTGAGGGGGGTGGTAGTAGATGCGAATTGATGCTTCGCAAGATACATTAGCGTAGCTGCCCATCACTGTGGTGCCTGAGCCTTCTGTGGCACAACCGTAGATACGTGTGCTGAACGTTTGCTAGCAGAATGCGGGGTAGGGGCAACTGGAAGCTCTGACAGGCTCTCGCTAGCATTCTCTTTCACGCTTTGGCGGTTTTCAGGACATGTGGAATATGGGGCTGTGGAAGAATTTCAATGAGGCCTTCGGCTACAACCCTCTTCTGTGGTTCCTACCTATCGGTGAAAGAAATGCCCCTTGCACTTCTCTACGCCCCTGCAGACTCCTGTACTTCCCTGGAGCGGCGGCACGCGCTTACATGTGTCGTTAGCGTCATGGGTTTTTACACGAGCGTTGGACACTGTGCCCTTGGGGGGATTGTTCTGTTTGGGAGTTCAGGGGGGAATACGTAGAGTGTGCTGGTGCCTGCATTGTTTCCTTGCAGACAACCGTCGGGGTGATGGGAGGCATTTCTTGTTGCGCCGACCTAGGTTCGGTGCTCCGACGACTACCGACTTGGAGCCAGGGGCCTCGGGTTAGCTCGCAGGGTAGTCTTAAGTCCACGCTCCTATCTGGACGGAGCCTTTTCTCTGCCGCTGCAAAAACAGCAGCAGGCGGCTTGCTATGCGGGATCGTAACTCCGGCCGAAGGAAGAGGGCGAGCATGCCGCAATAGCTTGACTAAGGGCGGGAAGGGCGGGAAGGGCGGGAAGAGCCTCTGAACTCGTTGCAGGCAATCAGGCGAGGAAAATGGGAAGCCGGTGATAACATCGGATTCTCTGACAGACGGTCCAGAGGGTCTCTAAGGGGTTGTTCACAAGGGCGGCTTAACAAGGGCGAGTGCGTACACAAGGCCCAGGGGCAAGGCCTCAGAGAACAGTATTTATGGGGAAAAGAAGGTGGTGGTGGGTTGTTAAGGATCCACCAGAGTGCTTAAGTAGCTTCATACGAGGTTCAGTGAAGCCATATTCAGGGGTTGGTGAAAATAAGCACTCGTCAGGAGGCTCACCGTAGGTAGGGTACCCACAAGCAAGCTGGGGCCCCAACAATGGCGTGCAAACTAAAGGACTAGACGATGTGTTTCTTTCGTGGTTTGTTTCACATGGACGGCTGCTTTAGATAGTCCAGATGAGACAGGGAAGTGGCCGCAAGCAGCGGGGCTAGGCCACGAGGAACTACGAAGTTGGCGAGCGCGCGGTTACGCAGGCACATATTGGTTTGCGGAGTGCGGGAAGCCCTTCGCTGTACCGAGGAGCACGAAGGAGGGGTACTTCGTTTTCTGCTGGCGTTTTAACTTCAGTGAAGTGACGTCGACAAATCTGGGCACCGGTATCAAATATTTTCGCTGAGGTTAGACCAGGGACACTGATTTGCACTCAGCTGGCAAACACTAAAATTATATGGGCATAAGGACGTAGAGTCATAAAGGAGAAAAGTGCAGGCCAATTTCCTTTGGAGAGTCTGGGCCAGCAATAGTGTGGATATGGACAGAAGTCAAGACTACGAGTTGGCTGACAAGGGGCCATTCCCCAAAAGGGGGCGCAAGGGGCCAGCATGGGACTAAGCCTGTGTAGAAACTCAGTGGTGGAGCAACGCCGTACACATTTCCACTATTTTACGTGGTTTTATCAATGGCTCGTAAAAGCAGCGTGTGGAAACGGTGTGCGAACGCCTGAGGAAGGTCGATTCGCCAACGTTGAAAGCGTTGCGTGGTAGGCCAGTCCCACGCCTGAAAGAGCCTCGAACAGAGTCCCTAGTAAAAAGAAAACTAGCAAGGGGTGCTCTATTGACGGAAGTGTTGAGCAGGTGGCAGCTCGAAGGATGGCTTCAGCTACCTCAGATCGTCATGTACCCGCTGGGAGAGCAGCCTAGTGTAGACCTTGAAGCAATTGTGTTAAGGCTTAGTTGAAGCAGCATTGCAATCAATTCTTGCTTTGAGGTTTTTAGATTACTAAAAATCAAGGCGTTAGAGGTGGTAGTGCTGTGACGCGCTCTTTCGGACGGCGGTCGACCGTGGCAGCCCTATTCTGTATTCCCGCCCAGATGCTACAGTAATTGCGCATTCTTGAAGATCTAGACCCTGTTTTCCACCTTTCTGCACAAAATTAGCCTCATAATTTAATAGGAGATCCGCCCAGTTTGTAAGGGAGCGCTGTAAATAAGCTGTGGAGCAGTCAGCCCCTGGACCATCGCCAGCCACGACCGGCAGCGGCGGTCGCACGGCCGGTCCAGCGGATGTGTTTGTCTGCCTCATAGGTGCCTTCCCTAAGTTTGCCACAGGTATGGTACATGTATAACTAGAATTTCTTTGATTCAGAGCACACTGGAGACGGCGGAATGTGCTCCGCCCTCTGTGTTCTGCACTTTGTATGGATGTTATCCCACGACTGTCTCGGCAAGCTGTCGTCTGCACGTGTTGCCGTTCCGCCATCCAAGAATCATATTTGTCATTGTTCTTCTTATATATCTTTGGGTTTTACTGTATTTCTCCCGGCCTTACGAGCGGAAGAGCAGCTCTGGGCTTCAATTCTATGGAGGACCCGTCCTCTCATCATGGCTGATCTGCTCCGGTTGTAATGAGTTACACTCGTGTCTAGCGTCTTTCTTCTTCATTTTCCAGCCAGTGCATCCTAGCTTCCAGCTTTGACTGCTACTAGGCTGCTGTCTTGTTGCTCTGCGGCCGCCCTTAGCTGGCTGTGCCCCTAAGCCCCATTTCCGGCATGTCTGCTCTCTCTCTCCTCCTTCAAATATAGCCACTTTCTCTTTCTTAGAAGCAGACCGTTATTCCGGTCTGAACGGCGGCGTGTAAGCTACTTATGCGTCTCCCCTTTAACCAGCACCCCCGTATCCCATGGAAGGCGTAAGCGACAGAGGAGGCAAAGAAAATGGGAGATGCGGAATCTGCCTCCCTGGACGCCGACGCTCATATTCCCGGCCGCAGCCACGGGGAAACATGCATTGCAAAGGCGGCAGCCACACAGCAGCGCGTCTTGTGCATTCCTCTTCCCTGTGGGGCGTTTGTCACAGTACACTTCAGCACAGTTCTAGGAAAGGGCAGCTACGGCATCGTTTATGCGGGATCTGTCGACCGCAGTACGTGCCGCCACACGTCAGAGGGAGCCGGGATTATTAGAGGCCTGCATTCAGAGCTCGCAGGCCCCCCCAAAGCAGCCGCAGCAGAAAGTTGCAGCAAGAGCAGCGCGAAGCCCCCCCAAGCATGTCAATACTGTTTTTCACACAGAACCAGGCAAGTGGCTGTAAAAGCCCTCCGACATTCATCCGAGAAGCAACAGCAATTCTCCCTCCACCGATTCAAGGTTTTGCAGCTTATTCGGCTGCACCAGCTTCTCGCGGGCCGCCAAGAGGAGCCGGCTGACGCTGAAGGGAAGCGCATTCGAGCACCCCTCTCCTCAATTTCTGTAGACGGGAATGAAGCTGCAGCCAGTGCAAGCAGTCAAAAAACCAACATCTCGTCTGGGAGCAGCTCTTTGAGCCCCTCCCCCATCAAAGACACGGAAAAAACTGCAGCGATCGTTGCCGCCGCTGCAGATGCGGCCAATGGCCTCCTGATAGCTACGGCAACACCAGTTTTTGAGGCTCATGAGAACGGCCCCTGCTCATGCTGCTCGTTTCTTCCCTTCCCGCGTTTTACTTCGTTGCATCTACTGCAGGTGTTTGGGGTCTACGCGTGCAGTCGAGTGCCTAGGAATTACTTGGTGATGGAGAAGCTCTCTGGCCCCACACTATTTGGTTACTTGTGCTCGAAGTATGCACATGTGCTCCCCAAGGAGTGGGAGGCTTGTCAGATCGTTATGCCCATCCTCAAGGGACTCTGCTGCATCCACGAAGCGGGAGTAAGGCGTTTTTTTCTGGCGTGCGGTGTGTGTACACACAGAGAGGGGGCGTCCCCCACATTGTTCACCTCTTGCAAACGAGGTGGTGCAGAGCAGTCGCTCCTGTGCCTTTGGGCAGTTGCGTTGGCGTAGGACGGTTTGGGGCTTGAGACTGCATGGTGGACCCTTTCAGCCTTTTCGTTGCGTTTCGTTTTTGTCTGCTTGACAGTTGATTCACGGAGACATTAAACTAGAAAACATCATGTTTCGCTTTGGAGTGCCACATCCGTCCACGTTGACTCTGGTGGACTTAGACGGTCTTACACCTCTTCCACAGGCCGCAGCAAGGGCGGCAGAAGCGTATTCGGTGGCTGCTGCTGCCATTGTCGAACAACAAGGGACGGCGCAAAGGCTGAGAGTAGGAAAGACACATAGCGTCTCCGGTCCGATGGGAGAATGGACGTCAGCATCCCTAGAAGCAGTAACTGTCACCACTGCCTCCGACGAAGCTTTTGGGGTGTCTCACCCCTTACTCTCCTCTTTGCTAACTGGAGAAGCCAGCAGCCTGGAGGGCCTTTGTTGCACGCCACAGTACCTCCCTTTAGAAGTGGTTCGAGAGAAAAAGTTATCTTTATTCGCGGATCTGCACGCTGTAGGCTGCATCTGCTACCTGCTGATGGAGGGGTGCTTTCCTCACGAACGAGTGAACCTGAACTGGTGAGTAGGAGCCCTGCCTAATGCTTCCTCCCTGATGTGCTGATGATGGTGCAACAACGCATTCGAGGAATTTTCGAGGCTGCAAAACGCTGGCATGTGTGCAATGCATTAGCTCGCATAAAGGGAAGCTGGAGGCGGGTTTCTCGCCGCTTTGGAAAGAGTCTCAAACAGGCATATACGTAGATGCAGATGCCCATGTATTGCACCAATGAATCCGTATGTAGAGAGAGAGAACGGATACGCTTCCTTTTCTGTTTAGAAAGGCTCTCTTGCTCCGGCTTTCCCGTGTGTACTCCAATCTCCCTCCCGCAGGGCCACTCTAGGTTGCTCTCTGTGGTATTTTCTTGTGTTGCTGGTTTATTTCGCATTCCTCCGTCTTATCCACAAAGATCATGTACTTTTGATTGCGGCTGTCGGGTGCTACTCAGCGAGGGGATTCTTAGCAGTGGCCAGCTGTGCCAGAAGCTCTCTCGTGACGTGCGATATCCCCGCATCAAGCAGCAATACTCCCCAGTGTGCGAGGACTTCATGCGCAAACTCCTCAGCAGTGACTCCAAATATCGATTCTTAACCGCAGCAGAAGTGCTTCAGCACCCCTGGATCAGTTTTGCTCAGGGGCTGCAAACGCCCCAAGAGCTGCAGGAGGAAAAGCAGCTACTGCGCTCTGTGCTCGCTGCTGCTGGAGCAGCAGCAGAGCAAGCCTTTAAGACAGCAAAAAAAGCAGAAGAATCTATTCTGAAGCAGCTGGGAGCCGAGGCTTGTGCGGCTGCCGCAGGGGCTGCGGTCGCACGAGCTGCGCAGATTGGGGCAGAAGCTGCACTGCATGCGACAGCAGTAGCTGCCGCTAAAAAGGCCTTGGCAGATAGAAAGGCGTACCAGGCAGCCGCGGCGGCAGCAGCAGCACCAGCGCGCGCGGAGAAAATGAGAGCAGAGCAGGCTGCAGAAGAATCGGCAGCAGCAGTTGTTGCTGTTGCAGACTGTCATGCAGAGGGGGGTCTGGAGGCCATGGAGGACGGCCTGCAGCTGCTGTTGACGCCGAAGGCTGGCAGTCTCCGTGAACACGGAGAAGGGTTCCTCGTCAATTCTCACAAAGTTGCTTACCGGGGCGCCCGTTGGCAGTTGGGGGTCTCTGCGGAGCTCAAGCCTGCTCCAGCCGCAGTCAGTGATGGCTGTGGGAACTTTTGCCAGTTCACAGCTGACGCACAAAAGCTACCTAAAGTCGTAGGTGAGCAAGATGCAGTCTGTAGGCGTGTTCAAATTGCTGGGACTGCCCTTATTCTTCCTTTGCCTCGGATACGAGGGCAGTTCTTCGGAATTCAGAAGGGGCAGCAGAGGCGTGGCTCCCGTGCTGGAGATGCGGGCGGAGCTGCGGCTTGCGGCAGCTTAACAGCCGGCTCCTCAGCCTTTGTGCTGATGGATCAGCAACAGAGAGCATTCGCTAAGGCTAAGGCTGTTGACGCAGCAGCCAGACCTTCAATTACTGGTGCTGCTAGGAGCATGTATGCTGCTGCTGCCGCTGCAAGCAGCCCGCACAAAACTCGCTGTCGGTACGAGTTCCTACAGCATCTGAGCGACGAAGCCACAGTAGTGAGCTTTGCGACGCTCAGGGGCTGTCCCCACCTTGCAGCAGCAGCGACAGGATGCACTCCTGAACGAGGGCTGCAAGAGCTAAAAGATCGGCAGCCTCCTGCGGGAGATGTATTTCATTCCACGCAAAAGAACGCAACTAGGTTGCAAGCCACACAGGAAAGGCAACTGCGCCGCTCCAGCCCGACCGCCCAGCAACAGCGGGGTCCCTTAGAGGGACATACGCTAGATATTGGTGCTTGGGGAGGGGGGAGAGCTAGGGCATCGCTGCAACACCTCGTGAAGAGGAGTCATGCAGCAGCAGACAACAAAATAGAGCAGCAGCATCATTCGCAACAGCCGCAGCACCAAGTGCAGCAGCAACAAAAAGCTCAGCAAGAACGAATGGCACAAGAAGGCACAATTTCCTGGGTTAAAGGCATCGTCAGCTTCCTGGAACTTGTAAGTGCGCAGGCCCTGCAAGGCTCTCTGCGCGACGGGTGAGGCTTAGACACAGACCCCAATACGTAAAGAGGGAGGGACCTGTACGTACTAGGAACCCACGGAAGACGTCCATCATGCTGCCTACCGAGGAATTACCACAAAAATGTGCCTAAAAATTGCAATCACAAGGACTCCTCTACAGGTGAGCAAGTTCATGCCTACCTAAGGGTGACGCGTCTGATGCAAACGCGATTCTTCAGTCGGTTCGGCCTCCCGGTGTAAATACACTGCATTTGAGGAATCGCCCTGTTGGTGTATAGTGATTGCTGCAAAACGCCGCTGTTCGTGTCAATGCTCGCTACTGCGGGCATCCCTTTTTGCTTAATACGGTTGTCTCACCCCTCTAGAATCGGCAATGTATGTATGCGCTGAGGATAGGGAGAGCTCCTTCCTGTCTTTGACCGGCTTTCCCTACGGCCCATGTAACGGAGTTGTGTGGCCCTTTAGTGCCATATTGTGTGCCGCCTTGCCGTTTTAGTCCGCTTGCTACCAAACGGGGCATGCAGCGTAAGGTGCTTCGGCCTGGCGGATGTTGCTGTTGTTGGCACTCTTTTCCAGTGAAGATGTATTGTATTGCTGTGGTCGCTTCCCTCTTGGCCGACTTCTGTGGCTGCTGCCAAAACGTCCTCGCCGTGGGGCAGCATTGTGCACCACGCCTTATATACGGACCCCCTGGGTGGTTCCCCCACTTCTACGAGGCACATATGCTCGCTGGTGGATAGAACCTAAGAAGCGAAAAATTTTCCCAGGGGCTTTGCAGGTGTCAAGTTATTGGTGTGTCTATCTTGTAGTGACTGAAGCCCATCTGTAACAGGAAGCAGTTACAAGCCATTTGTCGTGTGACGACAGCTGACAGAGAGCGCCATTCTAGCCAACACTAGACATCTTTTTGGCTCTGACCGACTACGATTGTCCGAAGCGCACAGCGTCTTCTGTTTATGAAAAGCGTGTACGTACAGCCCTCCCCTCAGGTTCTTTCTTAGGCCTATTTTTCAGCTCTGAAACGCCTTTATGCTTAGCAGCACGTACTTATCTGGTGCTCTGTAAAGCGGTGCCCCTCGCTTTGCCCTTGACTCACTGGGTTCCGGCCTGCAGGGATGAAGAAGGACGGGGTTGCTGGAAGAATCTCCACTTTTGGCCATACCAGTGATTCTTTTTCAGTGATTGCACTAGATAGCCTAGCACAAAGGCGTACGCGTTTGTTTTTGGGAGAATAAAGCTAATATCTCTGTTCTCCCACAAGTAAATCGTAACAACACCAAGCCATGTTGTCAGCGCTTTACAAAACCGCAAGTGCATGAAGCTGGCGCATTGATACATGCCCAAAAGTAGCTTGGCCCGCCGTAGTCCCTGGTAACAAGAACGCCGAGGGGGATGTAACGCCCCTCTATGATTTTCCCAGAGACAAGTTACTCCAGAATAATTACAAACTCTACAAAAAGTTGTTTAGTGGCTTCCAGATGAACTGACGTCTTTGTTTGCTTTCTTCTTGAGAGTCTTCGATAGGAAGGTACAGCAACTCGCTGAATTTAGCGTAGCTGCCCCCGATAAGCACTTACAAGCCTTTATTGGTAGTTGGACATAGCATCTAGCGCAAACGCAAAAAAAGTTGCGCCTCGGTGTGTTGAGCTAGCAATACTCTGCAAGGAGTAAAATGTACGAGATCACAAGCCAGGCAGTCAATTCTTTTACTTATTCTTAGTTTATCTATGACTGGTGCAGCTGAGAGAGTCTAATGGTAAATTAGCCCCCTACGCTAGCTGCCCCCCTCCCCTCACATCGAAAACCTTAGAGGCTGGGGTCAAGAAGTCAAGGAACAAGCTTAAAAAGTGCTTGGTAGCTTTCTATTGAGGTTACACTAACTCTGAAGTTGAGTGCTCCCCTATGGAAACGGTAGATAGGGGGTTAAATGCTGTACAGCGCACCACGCACATGAACAAAGCATCGAGTCATATTGTTTCGAGCTAACAGCAATTTGCAAAACAGGTCGATTAGTTTAGTCTTTACTGATTCCCACGTAACATAACACAACATTTCTAGTATAGTAGAAAGTGCCGAACTGTATTTGGGCGTGCAACAGGAGAAGCGCCCTTCGGATCAGCACATATGCTTCCTCCCCAAAGCCACAGTTCATCTCTCCGCATAGGGACTAAACGTCCAATACCAGTAACGCCCAAGGAGCTGCTATTGAAGTGGGCAAAGGCGCTGTTCCTTATCTCTTCATGTCAGACACATCCTCAGGGATTTCCAGGAAAACGTAATGGCCTGGAGTTACAATCGGAGGGCTGAAGGTCAGATTTAATGAGTAACAAGAGTGGTTTTTGGTGGCTGCGGCACCATAGCTGCAAACACTCACAATACTTCCAAAAAGTTGTTAGAGGGGGTCGTAATTTGCGCCAGTCAGTGGCACGAACAGAACAAGGTAACGATACACACGCCGTCGTCTAAATACACAAAAGCCGAGATTTGTGCACCTCTGAAAAGGCACAGCAAGCCACCTCTTGTCGTCTCATAATGGGGTAAGCGATATAAAACGGGGCAATTGGTTGCCGCAGTTACGTTTCAGTGTTTGACACTCCGGGTACTGCTGTCAATGGCGGCATTCGCCGTCCCTCACATGCACTCGCTATTTGAGTAATGCGCACTTTCCGCCTTAGATTTCTTTATTACTTCGTAGAATCACAGTTTACACCTATGCAATAATCGGATCACGTTTTTTTCAGCGTGGTTTTCATCCGAAAGGGGAAATCGGCACGGCCTCCATCCCGTAGAAGTTGCGTGGCACGTGCGTCCTCTGTCAATTCTTAATGATATTTTCTTTTAAATAGGTGCTGAAACAGTTTTTACACTGCAGCACCTTTGATCATTGGGGTGGATTTAGCGATAAAGCGGAAGCGCTCTAAATCCTCCAACCAGCTCAGGCATGAGGCTGCCCGGCGTTCTACCATTTATGGAACCCAGCGCAATTCGTTCTGCCTTGTAACAGTAATGAGATCGCCATACATCCTTCCCTAGCTCACCTGCCGCTTCCCTCTGGGCGGGCCACAGCTGACCATCCTGTCCTACGGTGACTATGCTTTTCCCCTCTTCTCTCCACCCCTTCACCTAAGCCGGCCACCACGAACACTCCTGTCTTTGTCCGTTGTTGGCTAGTTTGCAGCTTCTTTATCTCTTCATGCAACTCAGTAGCTCACTTCACCTTCGCTCGGCCCCCGTGCCTTCGGTTTTCAGGGGGTTCGTGGCCGGCTCCCACTTTTGCGGCCTTGCGCCGTCAGTGTGCTGGGTCCAAACGCGCTGCGTATTGCCGGCTCACCTCGTATCTTCGTAGCGCAGGATGTCAAACAAGGGCAGGTCGCCTGCGAGGGAGTCTGCCTCGCCCTCCTCCCCTGCAGGTCCTAGGGGGGCTATCAATGGGGATGCCGACAATGCAGAGGATTTTTCCGATATTGTTGGCCTCTCCCCTACGGGGCGTTGTGCCACCATGTGCATCTTTGGATGCATTTCCATAATGTAGGCTCCCTGAAAGCGTCCTCATTGGCGCATACCCCGTGTAAAAAATAGCTCTGTTGCAATGCGCCGTTCCCTGTGCCCCTCCCACTAAGGGCATCTCCGCGTCCTTCCGTATTGTGTATTGGTCCTTACCTTTCCACAATTTTATTTCTCCCTCTTTACCCCGTATATTCGCATTTTCTCAGCAGGCCTGTGTGTGTGCGCACCCCATAATGTGCGCGTGTCAGGGGATGCCGTTCCTCAGTAGTTCGTCGGCTTTCGTTCTATCCACCCTTTCCTGCTGGATACTCGTTGGAGGATGGACAGTTGTACATTCAAGACTCCATCCACGGGGGACCCGCCGGGGGAGTGGTCCGGACCGCAGGGAGTGAGCAATTAAAACAGCGGCCGAAGCCGCAGGAGGGCCAGGAGAGTATTCAACAACTGCTGGCTCGCAACCACCTACCAGAGAGAGTGAAGGTTTGTTTTATCCGGAAGGCCAGGCGAAAGCAGCTGGCTGCAGTGCTCCTTTGGAGCACCGCAGGGGTCCCCAGCAGCTGCAACTCTGAGGAGGAGAAAATGCAGTTTGCCCTCAGCAACAGACCCCTTGTCATCTTCTCACATGGAAACAGCACGGATATCGGATTCATGTTCGGGCTTCACTACAGAATGTGCTTCCGGTACAGTTCATACCGAGATGCAAGCCTTCGTTGAGAATGGCGTGCAAAAACACGTCGAGGCATGTTTCTCGATGTGGGAGTTGCTGGTCGCGCGTAGGGAGCTGGTCTTGTTCTGTTTCGTCATGCGCTCGATGTTTATGTACTCTGAGGTGTACGCTTCAGCTGTCACGTGAATGTTTTGGCCTACGATTACTCGGGCTACGGGTGGAGCGACGGGCGGGCATCCGAGGCTGCGCTGTACAGCGATATACGCGCTGTTTTCCAATACGCAGTGAAGCAGCTCTCTGTTCCACCGCAAAAAATCATTTTGGTAAGCCCGCACGGCGAATGCTGCTGCTCAAAGGCAGGCAGCGAAGACAGGGAGCCTTTTGCTGTGCGTCATGAGAGTCGAGGGTCTCGTGGACGAGGGTGTCTTGGTTGCAGTGGGGATGACCAGAAAAAGGCCCTATCGAACAATAGGTTTCTGGCGAGCGCGAGATGGGGGGAGGTGTGTTTGTGTTTTTTTAAATGAGGGTCGTATGCCATCGAAAGACTCCAAGTTGTATTCAGTGCTGTTGCTGTTCAATGGCTGGGCTGCCGAGTTAGAGCAGGGAGTCTTTGGCAGTCTCTTACTAGGGCCTAACGCACAAGGGATTCGCCATTGCCGTTAAGCGGGGTATGTGTGCAGTACGGCCACAGCGTAGGCTCAGGGCCGAGCTGCGACTTTGCGGCGAAGAAGAAGGGCCAGCCTCTCGGAGGACTTATTCTTCATTCTCCGATTTCATCCGGTACTACAGCATGCATCTATGCTCAAATTTTTACAACATCTGGGACCTAGGGTCATAAGTTCAAGGTCTCGGGTTTGGCATTCAGGGTTTACGTTTCAGCGTTTTGGGCTTTAAGGGCTGTTGTCGTGTGCACTCCCTCTCCAGGGTTGCGACTGTTCATTAGTGATATCGACAAGGCACCTTGGTTTGATGCCTTTCAAAATGCGGAGAAACTGCGGAAAGTCCACGACGTGCCAATGCTTCTTATTCATGGGCAGCTGGATAGGCAGGTAAGCAGGCGCCACACACCTACAGATTGAAGGCGCAGCTTTATCACAGCTTGCGTCAGCTGCACCGTGTGCGTGTGCGAGAGTTGCAGCTGCGGTGCATTCTGGCACCTGGGGGGAGGGTGCTGAGGCAGCGAGGATCTATCTTTTGCGTCATCTGGTCTTTGTTTGGGGGAAGAACGCTTTGTTCCCCAGGTCCCGTTCACTCACGCCTTGAAGCTGGAGGCTTCTTGCAGAGAGGCGGATGCCATGCGGGCGACTCGTATGCACAGCAACAAGAGCTGTTGTCTGCCAGTAACTTCCATGGGATACATGAAAGCCTTAAGCTCTGAGCCATTGACTCCTCGGAACACGGAGCTGCACCACCAGCGCGTGCAGACGTGGTGGGTTGAGAATGCCGACCACAACGACATCGAGCACAAAGCAGGGGTGAGCAACTTGGTGTGCAGATACAAGTTATGGGCCTGTGTTTTGAGGCTGAGGGTTTTTACGGAGAACAGTTAGATCAGGGATGCAGGTAGATGCTCTCCTGTCTGGCAGATTGAACGGGTAGCGGGTGGGGAAAAGAGAAGCACATGGACAGATTGCTGTGAAGGCTGTAAGGCGTTGGACCTTATGTATTTTCGCGCGAATTTGATGTGCGTTTTGCTCCTTAGGATGAGTATTATGTGCGGATATCTGCATTCGTCGATTTCTGTGCCAAGTGGCATTCACAGTGCGATTCAACCACTCGCTGATCTCCCTCGCTCACAGTTTTTACGATTTAGAGTTTCAGGTTGTAAGATCTGTACTAGTACTCCGTAGCGCCAGCTGCCGTGGCGCATTGCCCTTCCGGGCATTTCAGGCTCATCGCTTCTTTCTGTCCATTTGGTTGTCTTTGGTGGAACCTAATCCAGGCCTACTAGCGGCCTGTGCCACCCGCTGTAGCAAATGTCTAGGGCCTGCCACGCACGCACGGAGGCCTAGAGGCACCCATCACACCGAAGAGATCCGCCCCGTAATTCGAAGAGGGCTTCATGGGTTCTCTATGGGCGCGGCTTAGTATGACATTGGCTTGCATCAGTAGTCCCCGGTGTACGCCTGTATCGAGAGCCTCTTGGGAGATTGGCAGCGGCACAAAGAAAAGTTTTTGTCATATAAAGTATTTTAAGCTATATTCGGAAGGACGGGGTGCACTGAACCGAGAGAGGTAACCAATGTATGAAGCGCTCTTTTTAAGATACCCATAGGGAGGCACTTCACTTTAGAGTCAGTACAAACTTTGCGAAATGCTTTTAGTACTGTTTAGAAGAATTCCCGACTTACCATGCTCGCATTCCGCGTAGGTCCTGACTAGGGAAGAGAGGTTCAGATAGAGTGCACTCAGTTGCAGGCTCTTACCTCTCTTAGCATTCACAGCAAGTTGCACAGCATCAAAGCCACAAGCATGCAACGCTGTAATTTTGAATCGAGGTTACAATTTTCTGCAGGAAGATATACGCACAGGCAATCGTATTCGTAATTTCTTTTCTAGACCTGAGTAAATCATAGCATGTGCAGTTTAGCCTGTTTGCTTGTACTTTAACCCAGCATAAGGCTGATTTAATCCGAAAACATGGTCCTTGAATTGGACAGAAGGGGCTGATGCCGCAGCACCGACGATTCTCCCCCGCCGCACCACTCCTACGGTGCTTGTACTGACCGTCGTTGAGCCTCCTTTTTCGTAACAGCCAATGCCAGTGACGTAGAGGTGAGTGCATTTATTTTCCAACAGGCTACGGTTACTCAAAGAGACCATACAATTGCTTGCGTTTTTATTTGCTTCTCTGAAACCAACCAACGGCATCCATTGTGGGCAAAGAAGCTCATTGCGTTGTGGTGGGGGGTGGAGAACAGCGAGAACCTCTAACATGGGTGCCCTTTACAGTCCACACCGACTATCGGTCTTTGATGTACCTTATTCAGAACTTCAAGACTTGGAAAGACCAGCAGTGGTTCGTTGACTTGGGCACCTCCATAATGAGACTTCGTAATAGAGCATGTGTTAGAAGCATCCCCACGGTGGGAGCCGACACACTCTGTCGGCGCCTCAACAATTAATAACTTTACAGCGCAAACTTGTCTGTGATGATTCACGGCTACCAGCGAAATTGCGTAAGGCTTGCGCTTGTAACACTTATGCATCCGCTAATACTGCCAAAAACCACAACACCAAAAACATGAAGGACTACCACGTTGAGAACGGACTCCAATAGCTTGCATATCAAACTGAGACTTCGTACCTTGTGCGCCCCGGAGTCATTCTGCAATGCTGTTCTCGCCCAAGACGCATGATTATGTTTTTTGGCCGTGGCGGCATCCAGGGTCCACTAAAAACGTCATCCAGTCTTTTTAGTGCCGTGGGATGCTTCCGCAGCAGAGAAGCAAACATTCTCATGCAGAAATTGCCAGCAGCTTAAACCATGCAATCCTCCTAAAACCCACCCTTTTGCAAAGCCCTCCGGGCTCTTGAAGGAGACTGACTGATTTGGCTGCTCACTTCGTTGATTGACTGCAGCGGTGAACAGTCAGGATACTAAGCACATCGTGATTGATCGACTCAAACAACTTGCCCATTTCATTCCTTCCTCCAGCTTTGTCACGGCTCAAAAAGTCACCCAATCACCCTTGACTAATTCGCGCAAGCCGAACGGGGTGGTCAGAAGAATTCTTGCAAATTGCAATATGAAGTTCTTCAATGCGTTCTGCCGTGTACCTTCGTGACCTCCCTACACACTACTCTACCAGTACACTGCGGATTACCCTGAGGCAGATGAACAAACACAACGAACCAGCCACACTCTTCTGCGGCATTCAGTTTCCGTGATCAGAAAAATAAAAATGCTTGGCTTGATTTCCGTATGCAGCGTGGGTTGACAATACAGTCGTACACTCGTTTACGCCTTGCTCTTCCTCATACGAGTTTAACAGTTGAAAGTTTTCTCCCGGTACGGGCCTAGACTCGATGGTCCAGGGTCAGCAGCCACCTGTAGCAGCGGAGATTGTTTAGAAAGAAGATGGCTAGTGCCTGTGAATGTATGTGCCAAGCTTTAGAAAGGCAATCACGAGATCGTGATAAGCGGCTGTCGGCGGTATGGTTTGAGCTGGGAGACGTGGTCCTGGTTGATCGGCCGTCTTTGCAAGGTGTGCAGAATGTGATCACACGAGGAAATGTAACTGCCTACTGGCTAGGGTCATTTATGGTTCGGTTACCAATCAGTGCTCTTCCTTACTCTATTTCCTGCCCTCAGAAGTTAGGGGTTCCGCAGAACTATCAATGTTGACTTTCCCAGGGCGTTCAAAAAGTCCCCGAGACTTTGAACAACAAGTGACCCCTGTGGATGCGGATGAACCACAGGGAGCTGCAGTGGTGCTGGAATGTAGGTCTTTTGAGCTCCCAGGACACAATGTGTGGGATTGTCTAGTGCAGTAGGGGAGGAAGGCTTACCACACTGTTTGACGGAAGAGCATTTATGGGCTTCGTTGCATGTGGTAGAATATGTGGCGCTGTTCGGTTAGTAGTGAATATTGCCACTGAGAGTATTCCTCGTGATCCTTGGTCATTGTCCTTTTTCTGCGCATGCTCTGCCTAAAATGGCCACCTTGATATTTTGATGGGTATTGTTTGATGCAATGAAGTTGCTCTATACATTCACATTTATGCACAGGCACTCTCAGGTATGTTACCCCTACTTACTTCTGTATGCCTTGTTGGGGGCTTCGAAATCGACAACGACGCATGTACCGTTAGTATTTGCGTCCAGAGACTGCGGTTTGCGGGGCAGAGGCACTGCTTAAAAGGGGCCGTTTCTCTTTCCTTTAAAGACTTTGCCTTTCTTTTGCTTTTTCACAGCAGACTCGCACATTTCAGTGTTCCGACGACAACAACGCATCGCCCCTCAGAGATGGTGTTGGTTTGATCCCTGGTTTGTTGTTTGGTAGCGTTCGTCTTGTATTCCGTCGATTTCAATTTACCAGTTGACACATGGATTTTCTTGTTATTTGCGATGTTTTCGGGTACAGCTTTCCATGTCGTGCATGCAATTCGTCTGGATTTGCGGGTATGGAAGGCCAGGACTTGGATCTTAAAATGGAGCGAGGAGGATATGGTGGCTAACCTACATTTAATTACTTTCTACTACACTAGCCATAATCAAACTGAGAACTCGAAAGAATATTTTTAATTGGCTTGTGTGTTCGTGTTTCGTACTTGTTTGGGGGCACTGTTACCTCAATACAAGAAGTCACAATGCTTTGTGCGTGTGCGTTGGGTACTTTGTGCCAGAGCTCTGAACGCTTGAAGTGCTTCGAGGGTGCGACTATACGCTCCGTAGCTGTCCTACTTCCTCATGTCTGGAACACTGAGAACATCGAGCCAGTAAATTCAAGCCTTCTTCTGCAACGCAACCGATTACTTGTTTCCAATCAAGTTCTCTTTGAGTCTGGAGTTAAGCAGCTCCCACTGAGGCCTTGGATGAAGCATTAAAACTAGTGAAGGTGTAAAAGCCAATCTTAGCCGGCTACAGTATTGTCACGACTACCTTCGCAGCGAAAGCTCCAGGAATGTTGATCTGTAACCCTCCATTTAAATTCTCCGTAGGGAGACGCTTGATTCCAGACACAACGCAAGCTTGATGGAAAGGTATTGAATGCGTTCCCAAAACAGCTCCTTTTTGTTCTCGCCATTATCACTCAGAATTTCAACTTAGGGTGCAGGAATGTTTAGGGTCTGTTTGCTCCGATCCTAAAAACCCTCCGAGCACTTACAGCTAGGTGAACGTAGCATCTAGCACATACGCATCCAAAACATTGATTTTTACTGCATCAAGTCAACTCCAGTCTCAAATATGTAAAATGTATGCACATGACCAAGTGTTGATTCTTTACAACTATCTTTCAAGTGACTGGTATAATTGTGAGTGTTTTAAGGGTGGCTCCACCCGAAATATTATCGTCTTAATTCGCCTAGTGGTGTCCCTTAACCGATGTATCTCCCACCCCTCTGTCCTCCCCTGCATTATCCTCCTAAAGCCATCATCCTCTGAGAGAGCCCCTTGCCGATGCGGTTGGGAACAGTCGGCACTCCTCCAAGCTGGCTAGCTGCAGTGAGGGGTATCCGCAACAAAAATTCTTTACGGTCCTGCACTCCGAGAATTCAATAAGCCGATGTGCTTCCTAGTTTGCTTCTGTGGGATACCCAAACATGGGATTGACAAGGTGTTCCGAAGCAAGCCAGATCTATGCAAACCCTGAATCTAGCAGCAACTTCGGGGCAGGGAGAACAACAGGCAGTTTGTAGAGTGATGTGGAGCCATGCAATCAGCAGCATACCGTGCGCTTATAGATGAATTTGGAGTGCTAAGCGGCAGAACGAAAACGTATAAGGTGGTGGTCACGGGCTTTTCACTGCAGTGTCCTAGTAACCGATAGCCACCACTTTGGGAAGCCTCAATCCAGGAGGCCTGTTTGACTATTGATGTTAATATAGCTCTAGCTTAATTTCCCATGGAATTGAAGTCTTTCACAGTAGCCCTTTGTGCAAAGTCTCTAGAGTGCGATGTGGTGAATTCCACAAATCTGGAACCTGCGGTTGCATGCAGCCCCCAGCACCACGATTGTACAGATTCAATGACGGCAGCTTGGATTTTCTAGCTTTTGTCTTCTAGATTCTATTGAAATTATATACTTTGCATCTCCTTTTAGGGCGGCAGAAGCTTGACAAATCTTTTCATTTCGAGGCCCTGTGCCGCGGCCTCCTCTCACTGCACCCCACAACAGTTACAGTTGGTCCAGTATTGCTGTTTGCTTGACTTGCGTTTCGCTTTTATGTTTTCGTGAGCGCGGACCTATTTGCAACCTCCGCACTCTGCCCGCCCAAGAGGCTTCTAACTCAGCTGCTCGGCTACCTCTCCAAAGTCGATGTCCATGAGGGTTTAAGGTGCAGGGCGTGGGGTTTGTTGTGGTTTAGGGCTTACGGAGGATGTTTAGCTATGAGTTTAGCAACTTGCTGGCTGCGCCATACAGCAGCAGCCACGCGCATATTACTTTTGACAGGAAGAGCAGCAGCCTCTATGCCCCCAGTAGCAACCGTGTGTGCCGGTACACCCTAACCACCACAAATCCTGCCACATCGAGCAGTACGCGCAAGGATCATAACACAAAAAGTGCCTTTGACAGCGCTCTAGCCGCACAGGCGAACTCGGAAGAGATTGATGGAACTACCTCCGGCAGCAGCAAGGTTTGCACTCTTCCGTTTGAAGCGCGTGTTGATGTACAGCATTTTTGTGTTCGCTCCGACGGCTGCCTGGCCATCAGCATCGACCTGCAGGGGCAAGGCCTTGTCGTGAATCTGGTGAAGGGGACTATTTTAAATCGGATAAGGTTCCGGAGCAACACCAGTTCGGCCAGGCTCAAATGGGAGGCTCAAAGGAAGGAGCACTTTGTTTCTGCTGCCGCATTTTCACCCGATGACCTTCTCTTCGCGGTAGCATGCGGACGGACCATTCAGGTAGAGGCTTCTCGCTTAGTGTTCGCTGTGCCGTCCGTCTGCCGTTACTGTTGCCCTTCCCCCGTGCCTGTCCAAGCCTGCGTAACTACAGTTTTTCCCGCTTCTGCCCCCTGTAAGCAGCTCGTCGAGCTATTTATGATGGTTTGCTTGTTAGTGTCCAGCCATTCTTGCGTCGGTGTGTGTTCTGCTGCTCTTGCCTCGTGCGCTGTGCAGCTGTGGAGGTCGCCCTCGGTTGCCTCGCAGTATCAGCTGCACCTCCTGCATGCATTCACGCTGCATCAGCAGCCGATTTCCTGTCTCTCGTGGTCTCCTGACTCAATTCATCTTCTTTCAGGCTCGCAGGACTGCACTGTGCGGCTTTGGAGGGCGCGAGGCAAGTGGGCCGCATGCAAACCCGCAGCAGCGCTAGAAGCCTCAACCGAAGCCTCCGGTGCAAACGTGGATGCATCGGAAGCGGCTCACCAAGCGTACAGGGATCAAGTGGATGCGGCTTTCGTGCCTTCTGCGTTTACTTCTCATCGGCACGAAGTAAAGTTCGTTTGCTTTTCATGCTGCCTCACGAGAGTGTACTCCGTCAACAGAGAAGGCTGCATCATCTGCTGGACGTGGCAGTCTTTGCCCGAGGCGGAGGAGCGCTTTGGGGAAGCCTTCGACGCGCACAAGAACGCCGCGAAGCCGATAAACCCGCAGTTCTTCCAGCAGCAACGAGATAAGAAGCAGCAGCAAAAGAGGCAACAGGCGAGGCAGGGAGAGGAGGGAGACAAGGAGGCGGCTGTGGAAGCGGTTCTTCGGCCCCCAGACGAGTTTATCGATTACAGCGAAGGACTATGGCGACTCGAGAAGCGGGCTTACTGCAAGCAAGAAAATGGACAGCGTGTATCTCACGCAGCCACCAACATTTCTCCGTACTATAAATATGCTGGAGTCGCCGGAAAAGCTCCCGAGAACGGCTTTCAAGGATTCCATGGGGGCCTGGGGGGCCGTGCACCTCCGCAGTATTTGCTCATCGGCTTCACGGGTGGCGTATTCCAGCTGTATCTGCTTCCAGACCTTAGCGCCATTGTCAGACTCTCTCTTGGGGTCTCTTCGCTCGACTCCGTGTGCTTGTCCTTTGACGGAGAGTGGGTAGCGGCCGCAGCAGCAGAAAGCAACACGCTGGTGGTCTGGGAATGGAGGAGCGAAACGTATGTGCTGAGGCAGCAAGCGCACATGCATGGAATCCACTGCGTCTGCTTTTCGCCTGCTGCTGACGCTGCCGCAGCGGGGGCCTCCCGCATTGGGGCGAAGGCGGGGAACGGCGGAGCGGCAGCCGCCGCAGCAAGCGCAACTGTGGCAGCAGCAACAGGAGCCACAGGAGGGGGAGGCCTAGGCCTAGGTTCGTCTCGCGGAGTGGTTGCAACGGGCAGCAACGATGGCCGCGTCAAAGTGTGGGATGCAGAAAGCGGATTCTGTTATTGCACGTTTGCCGGCCACACGGCTGCTGTCTCTGCCCTTTGCTTCTCACCGACGGGAAACGCCTTGTTTTCAGCCTCCCTTGACGGGACAGTCCGAGCAGTGGATCTTCTTTCGTTCAAGCCATTCAGGTCGGCTACAAGATCTGCCAAACATGTTGATTAAAGCGGCGCACTTGCCAGCTCGCTTGAACGAAGTTGACTCCAGTGGCTGCCTCCTCACCTCTCTGTCTTCTCCTTCTCGAACTTCTCTCACAACTCGCTTCCTAGCTCGCATAAGACTGCATCTCTCCATGTGTTCTGCGCTGCTTGGTCCAGGGTGTACACGGCCAGGAGCTCTGCCGCCGCGACTTTTGGATTTGAGGGCCCTGGAGGGCCTACGAGTTCCTCGCTTGACAGCGGCGTGCAGTTCACATGCGTGGCGATCGACTCGGGGGGTGAGTTGTTGGTGGCGGGATCTCAAGGCAGCTGCTTCTCTGCCTTCGTGTGGAGCGTAAGGACCGCCAAGTTGCTGGAGGAGCTCGTCGGCCATGAAGCCCCAGTGGCTGCAGTGGCATTTCACCCCCACCCGGATCGGCAAGGCATCCTAGCCACTGGCAGTTGGGACATGAAGGTCAAGGTAAGCAGGCAAAGGAAGGCGAAGGTCTAAAGGGGGGATGGACGGATATGCAGCCCAGGGTAGACGCAAGAAAGGGCCTCTGGAAGGGGGTCTTGCCCCTCTGTTGAGGGCTCCCTCTGGCGGGGCATACAAAGGCCTAGGTATCAATCTGAATGGGTACCAAAGTGGAGCTAGCCGGGGGCTATGTTGTCTTTTGCTCAATGTCTAAGACTTAGGTCGCACACGTCCGCGAATACGCAACCCAAAGGCGTCACCCTGAAAGCGTCATGTGTGGGCTCGTAGGTGCACGTGTATGGGGTTGTATGTCGACGTTCATGTTGGTCTGTGTGTGTCTCTGCTCGTGCAGCTGTGGGATATCCTGGGCCGGCGCTCTCGTGGGGGCTGCCCCGAAACGCTTATTCAGAGTGGCGGCGTATCTTGTCTTGCCTTTGATCCGAAAGGGAGAGGCCTTCTGGCTGTTGGAGGTGAGGGAGGGAAGGTGGCACTCTGGGATTCCTCCCTGGGCGAGGAGGGAGCGCTGAGCTGCATCGAGTGTTTGAGAGATATTCAAGGAGGAAGGGCTCCAGGAGACAGGACTGCGAAGAATGTGTGGGCCACAAAGGAGAAGAAGGTGTGTCAGGCTTGACTTTAAGGGCCTTTCCTCGTCGCTCGTCAGGAGATTGAGGCGATCGTTTGTACTTCGTATCGTACGGCACAGTCAGGGTGCCGTGTGCGTGCATGTCTCCGGGCTTTGCCCAAAGTCTCTACGTCGCTGTCTTTCACCCGCTTGTATCCCTTGTGCTGCCGCTTCTACTTCTGCTTCTGGACGCGGCTGCGCCGGCTGCACTTTTGCTGCTGTTCTGGGTGCTGCAGAGGGTGATGGGCCTGATGGCCGGACTGGATCTGAACTGTTGCGTTACATCGTTGCAATTCTCGTCGACTGGCTCTTTCTTGTTGGTAGCGAGCCGCCGCTGTCCAAAGGTTTTGCTGTACGAGACGGAGGGTGGGGCTCTCCTGGGGTCCTTCCTTCTTACGTCCAACCGCATGCTTGAGGGCATCAGCCGCGAGCTCAATTCGAAGTTTATTGCAGATGATGGTGAGCGCCGGCGGGGATTATGAGGATAGAGACGCAGCACCAACAGCGTCCTGCAATGCGGCGCATAATCCTGTCTTGTAACTGTGCCTGTGCCTGCTCCACGCTTCGTGGCTCAGGGACGGCCATCCAGGAGTATGACTTGTCTGATGTCGACGACGACTTGAATGAGGGCGAGAGGGAAAGAAAGCGTATCCGACATGTATGCCTTTCCGAATATAAAGATCCCTCTAAGGGCACGGATGCCTTCCAGGGCCAGCCCCTCCTCACTATTTGAACACGCCTTCTTCATATATGCCCGTGTATCCGAATGCCACTTTGGAACTGCGTTTGTTTCGCTATTTTCCCTTCTTGTCTGCCGTTCGCTCCGCCAAAAGTTTTGGTTCCGTCTGGTAGCCTTTTTTGCCTCCCCAAGGCACGCCCGCCTCATTCGTTACATGCTTATATGTGCTGCTCACCCCCTGTCCCCTGCCGTTTTTTGACTGTTGGTTCTGCAGCATCGCTCGCTGCCAGGGGTGCTTAATGGAGAACTGGCATCTAAGAATAACCGCCTGTTTTTGGTAAACGGCGTTTCATTCTCGGGAGACAGCCGATCGTTCGCTGCCGCCACCTCTCACGGTCTCTTCGTCTACAGCATCAGCCTGCAGGTTCGTAGTCTCCTTGCTTGCTGGCTCCTTTCTGCCGCATATCCAGTCTGTATGCTGTGTATAACAATCTGTACTACGTGTGGCGTCCTTGCAAAGCATGCCGTTTTTCTGCCCTTCTACATCTTGTTTGCATCTCAAAGGGTTCTGTGTTGCTGTCCAGTTTCAGGGTCTTTGCTGATTCCCTCTTCATTTTTATATGCTTCTGATTCTGTGCTTTTTATCTCAAAGGGGGGAATGATCGGAAACTTCGGATCCTCCGAGATCGGCCGCGCCCCACCTCTCCTAACACGCCAAGTGACATCGGCCAACATTTATAAGGCCCTTAACAGTCAGGAATATGCAAAGGTAAAAATCAGCAAACGGATGCTTCTGGAGTAGTGCCTCAACTGCGTTCATTTATTTGCCTCCTTGTTGACGCCTCGCTCTTCTGAGGCGGGTTTTCCTCGTGTATCCCTCTGTTGATTTCTGCACCTCGCTGCCTTCCATGGGTGCCTTACCTGCATCCGCCCCCTGTTCCGTGTTGGCTGCATTAGGCCCCCCATACCTCAGGCATTCGTGTCTCTTCGCTACCAAATATCCTTTTCTTTGGCTACCTTCTCTTCTCAGAGCCGCTACGCAATTCCGCGCCGAGTGGTCACCGCCTGCTAACTCTGTGTCATCGTGGTGTGCGTTGGTCGCAGGCCTTTCTCTTGGCGCTCGTTGCGAATGATATGCCAACCCTCTTGTGCGTGTACGAGAGAATCCCTGTCCTCTCCGTCCCACTAGTGTGCAGCAGTCTGTCACCCTCCCTGCTGCCTGCTCTTCTCTTTTTCTTGCAAACCGTTCTCTCACCCGACGTTCAAATAGGGACAAGACACATCCAGTTTCACATCCTCTGGCTAAGCTGCCTACTCAAGCTGCAGATGCACGTCTTCCAAGGTGAGAAGCAGACGAATTGTGTTGGCTGGCAAACGCTTTCCTGGCTGGGAAGCTTCGCGTCTATATGCTCACCTAGCAAGCAAAGCTCTTCAAGGGGCTGGTAGGTCGCTAGCTATCGCGGTTAGCTAGCGTGGTCACCAGCTTTATTAGCTTGAACAGGTGTGAACACTATTCACCTGCGTTCAGGCGGGCTGGCTAGACACTGGACAGAAACAGTGGCAAAGGAGGTGACGGATGCTCAAGATGAAAAGGCCAGGAGGGCAGACGCCTTCGAACGGCTTTCCCGTAAGGCTGTTACTCAAACCCTAAACGCCTAATATAGGGCCGCAAACCTGTACATATTTCTGCTGGAAATAGATGTGGAGGCTTGGCATCACCCATTCATAGGTGCATGCATGCGTGTGTATTCTTATGGCTTCATAAGTCCTCATGCACGCGTACTGTTTCTACATTGTAATTGTGTGTGTGTTTGTGTTGCTTGATGCTGTACCTTAACTGATAAGCTTCTCTAAGATGCTCTTTTTCACACGCATCCATGTGATCATTAGCTCTACCTGTGTGTGCCCACCTTGCAGCTTGTTAGTTCCCCCTCTGGCTGTGCAAATACATATGCAGGAATGCATGCAGCTCCGATGTGTGCATAGTTAGTCATGCGTGTGCTGAGACACTAATCCAATGGTATTTCTCCTGGTCTTTGTGGTTGTTTTCCTTCTCTTTTAGGCATATCGGTTGATTTGCGCACATTGTTTCTGCTGGTACTCCGTCAGCTTCAGCAGCAGCACACAAATTTGCACTCCACTTTCTCTTCCAATCTTGGCACTCTCTCCTTCCTTTGTGCTACAATTCGCAACAGACATGCCTCTACAGCAGATAGCACGACCTGCAGTGACTGAACGTGCAAGTGGCGTGCTCTGTATGTTTGCACACCACACGGGGACTCTGAGTAGGACATCAGGCCTGATGGCTAGTGAGTGGCCCCTCAGGAGTAGAGACCCAGCGCCTCTGCTGAGTGGCGGCTATACTTCTGAGCAAGCCAGTAAAACTGAGCTGGTGTGTCAACCGTTAAGGTGAATGTTTCCTCAGCCTTGTAGGGCTCTGTGGTGTCCTTATTGCTGCCGACTTGGGGATAGTTATGGAGTAAGATGAAAATACAGACGGGATTGTGAAAATGGGGATTTTGGATGGGCGCCCTCCTATTGCTGCTGCTTTGACACACTCTCAGTACAGCAAAGAGATGCGCCCCCACGTGAAATAGACCTAGTTCACCATACTCTATCCATACTCAAAGACGGCACTGGCACAAACCCTGAATAGGAACATGCGCCTTCGGCCATGACCCGAACCCCCAAACCTAACCTCCAACTTTTCCAAAAGAATGAGGAACGGACCATCAAATCACTTTGCGCTTTTTCTAAAGCTCCCAAAACCAAAGTCGTGTTTGCTCAAGACGAAACACGTTGATGCAATGTTGACAAGTGTCATCTGGCACAGCATATCCCAACACTCCGTCTCCCGGGGGCTCGCTGCAGAGGTATAGACGCGCGCTTTATTTACAAACAAGGCTTCCGGCCTTAATGGCTATTCACTGATAGCTCTAGCTGATGAGTTCCTCTAGGCAGCTGCATAAAACGGGTCGTAAATTCGCGAGGGACATAAATGTATGTTCACGCAAATGACCATTCCTTGTCTCCGAATGAAGCCTGGTTGTTCGTCTGCTCTTCAGCTCCATGTCCTGTTGTCACATCGGTTCAATCCCCAATGCCTGCCTCTGCTACAAATCCACGGAATCACAGGGCTCATCCACCGAAAAGGTCGGGCTTAATGGATGATATTAACTATTTGCTGGCTGCCGTGTTCACCTACCGTACTCTGGGTTCATTCAGTGCAGTCCGGTTTATCATTTTTGGTGCAGTCTAGCTTCGTTAGAGCCACCATGCTGTGAGCTTTTAAGTATAAGGCAGACTCAATGCAAAACAAGTGCTTGCTCCTCTGGAGCAACATGCCAAATGTACCTACCCCTGTTTGGCATTTTTACGAGCAGAAGCCAAATACAAATGCTATCCAGTTACTAAAATACAAAGAGGGTATCTGTTCTGCGCCATCTTGGGCTATACAGAATAACGAATCAGTCGTCAAAGTACCAGGCACTTACAACTCCAGCGGCCCAATAGTTTGTAGCATGCAGTGCACAACACCTAGAGGATGAGCCGCCAGAAATTAGACCTACCAGCTTAGGAAGGCAAAGTGACCAGTTATTCCTCCTGTTGTGTCATGCGCATTGTGTTTTTGCTGGCAGAGGCTACACTGCGGGCATTTTTACACGTAGATCTCCCCGTGTTAGAGAGAGCAGAGTAATGAAGATTGCCTACAAAATCCATTACAGTGACCGACAATTCCCTGCTTTGGTTAAACAAGGAAAAGACTTCACGACTTCCAGCAACATCACAGACATTCTAAATGCAGTAGTGTGCACAAGAAGCTCCTCCAAATGGTCTAAATGCGAAACATATTTAAAAGTGGACGTGAAGATGCACGCTTCAACTGATGACTGGCATACAGCCGTGCTGGAGCATAAATTTCATTGCAAGGTACTCGACGAATATTCTAGGCTGAAGCGCTTTTTCATAGTAAGGGGGAGCTAAAAGTCAATGTGTATAGAATTGGGAAAGCCAGCATTGCGAATTGTAGACCAGCCACCACAGCAGCAGGACACGTACTAATGCATCTACTGCTGTGGTGCACACAGGGGTCAGGGCGTGCTCGTGCATTTTCCTAGCTTGTAGTGATAAAGCCGGAGGAACAGTGGGCCCCCTGTAATAGTTGGAACAGCGCTGAACGAGAAACTGGATGCCCGGTTCAATAAGGTTGCCACAAAGCACCGGTAGCACACATGCAATGCTAAAATTTAGCATACGCAGTGGAAGTGGTCGAAGAAATGAGAAGCGTTTGGTACTGCATTTTTACTTGGCAGAGGGTCAACGGCTTAAAAGAGCATAAGCAACGCTAAAATACAAGAAAATTCACTGACAGAGTCTGCCAGGCTATGGCAGAGCAGGGCTACATGAACTAAAAGAGAAAGGATGTGAAGAAGAAAGTAAACAAACTAAAGCCTAGAAATAAGCAACTAGTGACAGCACTTCAAGAGCCCCGAGAAAATAATGTACCGCCGTATCAGAAAAAATCTGTTTTCATCGCTGTTATTCTCTACACCCCCAGACATATAGTAAAGCACTAGATAGAAGCTCAATTTTCAGCTCGTGGGCTCCAATGCCAAGAACACTTTACAGAGCATCATCACTCGTACTGCTCCATACCATCGCAGCGGACGGAAACTAGCAGTTAAATATGGTGTGTCGGCGTAATTTTATTTATGCTTAAGCCATATACGCGCGCGTTAATTGGCCCTTTGTGCTGTGGTGAAGGCAGAAGTAGGAAGATCACACTGAGTTTCCGGTCGATTCATGCAATGACAACCCGGAATGTCGAAACACGCACACAAGCAGTCACTAATCACAATGCTGGTGGTTACGCATCTTCAGCACTGACGTGTATTTTGATGTTCTTCCCTACAAAAAAGAACTGCGTGGAGTCATTATTTCTGAATCGCTGACTCTCTCGGACCCCCGTCGAGAAGGGGTGCCACAGTAGTAGCCCCTGGGTCCTGGCATGACGGGCCCTATTCCACTACGAAAAATGCGTGTCTAACGATCAGAAAATACGCAAAAGTAGGAAGCTATGATGACATTTTATTTTTGGAGCTATTTAATCATATAACTACGCTGTCTGACTTGCTGCTGCTTCCCTTTCAACGGATATCCGGGGGCCCCCCGGGGCCCCTAGATCCAATGGCTCCACACTCGTGGCAAAATGCGGCAGCAGGCGAATGTTGCCTTAGTTATCATTGTTTTATGTTCAGCCTTCACGTGTTTCTCTGGAGTCAGCGGCACAGTGCTTCAGGACCGTTGCTACGGATCCATACAGGGGGCCTCCTGCAGGACTCCCCTCAGAACGCCTAGAGAGGTCTTCTTGCCCCTATCATCCCGTGGCAATTCACTCTCTCGCTACCAATACGGTGTCGTGATTACTGGCGCGGGGCCTTCTTCAAAGGGACTAACTTGCTTCCAGGGACCCTTGGTTGCTGTGCGTACTCGGTCACGTGCTAATACTGTTTTCGCCCCCCCTGTTGCTACCAGGCGTTCTGTTTTACGCACCAATGCACCGGGTTCCTTCTCGTTTTTCGTTTCTCGGCAGGAGGGTGGGGACAGCGTCCAAAACAAGTGGCAGCAGCCACACTTCAGCAGAAGCAACAACAGGAATGAGCCGTCCAACACCCACAGCAGCAGCAACAGCACAACTCCTGGTAACTACGACACCAGTAGGCTTTTTTCTGGTTGCATCTGTGAGGCCCCAGGAGGAGACATTTCGTCGGCCTCCCTTCCTGGGGGGCCCCTTGTCGTTCGTTTTGCCCCGAGTCCAACCGGACTTCTCCACGTGGGGGGTGCCCGTACGGCTCTCCTCAACTTTGCCTTTTTGAAGGAGCACCAACGACATTTGGGATCCCCAAGCGGCTCCTCAGATGTTTGCAGGGCTGCAGGAGGTGGACGTTCGCGCCTAATCTTGCGAATTGAAGACACAGATGAAGCCAGAAGTAATATCGACACCGAGAGGGCCTTGATTGAAGACCTCAAGTGAGACGAAAACGTAGTGTTCGAAGCCAGAGACATACCGGTATGGACAACTTCGCAGCCGTAGAGTGTTTGAAGTCTGGAATGCCTTCTCTCTTCCCACAGGTGGCTGGGCGTTTCATGGGATGAAGGACCCGACGTTGGAGGCCCCCGAGGCCCCTACCGCCAGTCTGAGAGGCTCAAGATTTACTGGTTAGTCGTGACCTCCTAAGTGATCAACTCGAATTCTCCTTTCGAATCAGGTTTTGGGAAACGCAATATCCTAGGTCTTTGGAATGGACTGCGTGGAATGTACAGGCAGCATGGCCAGGAGTTGCTACGGCAAGGCTTGCTCTACAGATGCTTCTGCAGCAAAGCGCGGCTGCTGCAGCTACGACAACAGGTCCGTGCTTGCATGTAGAGGGTTAAGGCTCACCTATGCTACTGGCTGTGTGCTTTTTGGAAGCTGAATTTCAAGATGTTCATATACAGTTGGGTGCGTATAGTTGCACATAGATGTGCATGCATGCGTACGTCTTTTTGCAGTGTGTTCAACAGGGCCTGCCACCCCGGTACGATGGGCAGTGCCGCTCTTTGGATCCCACAAAAGCCGAGCAGCTCGCAGCAGAAGGCAAAACCTTTGCGCTCAGATTCAAGTAAATCAGTGGCTGGTGCTGCTGGCCCGTAGAGCAGCTGCAGCTTTCAGTGTTGGAAGCAGCAAGTCCTAGCGAGCCTCCTGAATTCTTATGCTTAGGCAGTTCAAGTCCAGTTGTCTGGTGCTGCCACAGTTTCTGTCCCTGTTGCTATTGATCGCCCCTGTCGCCACTGTGGCTGGTGCGTGTAGGATTCCGACGGAGCCAGACGAGATTCGCTTCACGGATATCCTTAGGGGGACCCTTTCCTTCTCCCTGAAAAGAACGCTGGGCGACTTCGTCTGTTTTAGACCAGCGGACCAGGGGCCCCCCAAGGGCCTCTCAGGCTCTCCCTGCCCGCTACTGCATTCCCGAGAGACGCTCTCTGAAGGAACTGGAGGCCCCCGGAGCGAGGTGCCCTTGGAGGGGGGCCTCCTAGGAGTTCCCGTATACAACTTTTGCGCCGCCGTGGACGACTGGCTAATGGGAGTCACTGCTGTGGTGCGAGGAGAAGAGCATATCCCAAATACCATCGCGTAAGCTCTGAAAACGCACAAGTCAAAGTGCTGGACCCCAAGCGCTAATAGCAGCACCTGCTGCACCGGGGCACGAGGGAGGGGCGGGAGTCTGTGGTCGCCTACGCAGGTTACTACTTGCCGCCACCGCTGCTTCAGGTATATCTGCAGCTGTACTATGGAATAGCGCGTTGGGAAAAAAATGCGCTCACAAAGAAGCGTTAGGTTCAAAAGGGGCCGCAGAAACGCTCTAAGGACCCTTGAGACCACAAAGGAAGGAAACGTAACTCTTGGGTGTGTTCGAGCTCAGGCAGATGCTTGTGGGAAGGGCGCTTGGAGCTCCGCTGCCGCGCATATGCCATTTGCCAGTGATGATCGCAAAAGAAGGCGGCAAAATAAGCAAACGAGCACAATCCGGTAGCGCAGGGACCGTGGCGTGTGGCAGCAGCACCGACCGCAAGACCAGCCGCAGCGGCGGCAGTAGCAGTACCAGCGTTAATGACTACACAGTCAGGGGCCTAAGGATGCGAGGGTTTCATCATGAGGCGGTAGCTGAATACCTCAGGGGCCATCACATTGGCGAGTTGAATCAGAAAGGGTGCGCGGAGAGGGCTGAGCTTTCACTCTTTGCCGTGTTTGTTTTGACTCTGGGCAGGGATGCATCTGTACTTTTGGCTGTGCTTGAAAGGTGTGCGTGAATTCGCGCGCAGCAGAGAGCCACGAAGCAACTACTGGATGCATCCTTTTTGGTAGGGCTCGGCGTTTTAGACACTTGGCTCATGATTCTGTGCATGCCTGTTGTGCTTTTACTGATCCAGGCCGCCTAAGCCCCTATTGAGTCTCTTGGGTCGCAGCGCCTTTTGCTTTGATGAGGAGCATCTGCGATTTGCGCACAGAAGAAAACTCCTACAGGTGATTTCCCCGAGAGCCCGAGCTTCTTGCTGTAGCTGCTACAATTTCGTTCTTCTCTGTCTTGTTGCAGTAGAGCGCCTGTGTTGCGCTCAAGACAGCAGTCGAGTGACCTCACTGAATCCGTGAAGCCTGAAATCGTCAACTGGAGTTTGCACAGGCTGATCTTCGTGTTCAGCACTTTGCGGATGCCGCAGCTAGTGGCTTGCCCCAATGCGGAGCCCCTCGTTGGTTTCTTTTTGAAAGTCGTTGCCCAGGCACCTGGCGTCTGCAAGGATGCTACACACTTTTGCCAAAACCCAGCCGCAGCACCCACAGCAACGAGAGGCGATTACGTGGAGGCGCTGTCCGCGTCCCTGCATGTCACGGAGCCCTCTTTGTTTGCATTTCTCTCACTGGCTGCCAGGAGGTTGCTGCTTCAGCATACAACGCCGTCTGCCGTGTTGAGGGAATTCTCCCTTTCCTTGAGCACTCGCCTGCCCATGCAGGTTTTAGGTGCCTCGGGAGCTGCTGCTGGGGCCACTAGATTTTCTTGCCCGTCCATTTGGCAGCATTCGGAGTCTGGCGAGGAACGGCAGTTTCGCGCTGTTGCGGCCGCAGTGGTCGAGTCAGGCGATTTGTTTGTTGCCTTGTCCCGTGCAGCGGAAGGCACTCAGGAAGCTGAAAAACAGAGAGGAGCGGCTACTTCCAAAGGACAGGATGAGATCAGAAAAGGATTCCCAGAAGGGGAGGTGCTGCAGCGCTTTGAAAATTGGAAAGACCATTTGAGCAGAAAACTGAACCTGGATAAGGCGGGTATAATGAAATGCATCAGACGCGCCCTCACAGGACAAGAGACGGGTCTGCCTCTTTTACAGCTGGTGAGTCAGTCGTTTGAGACAAACACACAAATGAATTGCGTGGGGGCAGCTTCTACTACGTGCCATCAGGTTCAAATGACTTCTGGTGCCTTTGTTCGTTTCTGTGTCTGCATTTCAGCTCGAGTTGCTGCGAGCTGCAGAGGCCGCAGGTCTCTCTCCGTTTGGCAGTCGCCATGCTTTTTCCTCTCTAGTAGCACCCCAAACAAAGCAAGTTGAGGCGAGTACAGGTTCCACACGGGGCATTACAATAGATCACTGCGGCCTTCAGTGGATCCAACAGCACAAGATAGAAACTATACAACAACGCATCGCAAACCTGGAGTACATGCTGACTGCTCGCAGCTCATACACCCAATGAAGCTCTTCAGTCTCCCAAAACAATCGATCAAGAACGGTCTGCTGTACTGGCTATTTTGATCCTATAACCATGCAGACGGAGATATGCACATTGTCGTAGCCAGAGAAGTCGACGTAAGAAGAAGTATACAGGAATACAAAGCAAGAGCTGATTTGCGAACAACACAAGCAGACCTATCTGCGTATTCTTTGAACTGCACGCAAAGATTTAAAATGCCCCCTCTGCTCCCTTCTGCTTAAGAGCTGCTTATCTATTCATTTGGTGTGTCTATCCGTCACGCCAGGGCACGTAGACGTTTAGAAGCCACGTAGTGTCTTGTCCAACAGGCATGTGTCTTGAAACACAGAAAAGCAAGGGGCACTCCTATTGGGACTGAGCCTGCAGCTCAGACACTACAAGAACCCAATAGGAAGGTGGCTTTCCCTAGCTAGTTGCTTGAGGCTTGTCAGAGGCTTGCTTGTGAGAGTCAGCCAACAGATTCGGTTCTGCAAGTCAAGACTGATTGCATAAGTCTGGCCGTCTCCCTCTATCTTCCTGCTGTGGGAAGGGAAAACGCGTTTCGGAAGCTGGATTCGTCTGTGAAATAGAACGAAACATTACTGAATTGTAATGCATGCGTCCAGAGTGCCATCGGGTCGCAAGCTCTTCGTGACCTGCACTGGTTTTTGCATTCCGCGGCCCTTCTTTTCTCGGCGTTTATGTTGAGCTCAATTACTATTTACATAAGTTCCAAAGGTATGCAATAGCTGGAGCTTCTTCCCAGTCTGTGGGGGATCGGAGCGATCGACTTTGAGCTAGCGTACAAGGTGGTGTCTCTTCCAGTTCACTTGAGGCTTCTCGCAGGCTGGTTTGCAGTAGCCCATGCAGACGCGCTCGCCTTAAACGAACCTAATCTATTCAATAAAGTAAGAGCTTTTGAACGCGTCACATGCGCCTATAAGGGCGATTTCAAGAATGCTGATGATGATACACACTAATAAGGAATTGAAAAAAGCAATCGTCCTAGCCCGCAGAACCCGTTACGTCTGCCCTCTACGCAGGAAGGAACGAAGCATATAAGCTCGCTGGGCTGCACTGCCATTGATGCCGCTTACGTGCAGCGCAAATGCAAGGGGTTGTGAAGCTTGTTACTCAGAGAAGCCTGTTGCTTGTCTGCAGCCCTTTGAGCGCTTGAACGCATTGGAGAAACAAGCAACCCTCTCTCTCCGCTCCTCCTCTACGTTACTCTATCATTTCAAAATGCATTCCAAGGTGATTAGTAAGTGGTGAATTTACATGTTTGCATCTAATCCTTGTTCTTCATTCCTATGCTTGCCGGCGCGATTGCATCAATGCGTGCCTGCAGCGTAAAACCTGTGAATTGAAAGTTTGTAGTTCCCGAGCAGTGTATGTTGCTATCTGGAATATATGGCCTGCCTCCACCGAAAGCACAGTAGAGCGATGCATGCATAGCCAAAATGCTAGCAAAACCAATAAGTTTCGATACAGCCGATGTGCCGTTATTGTGGTTTTATGCAGGAGATGCGATGCAAACTCAGCCTTCGGCTGTCTCATTGCACAACCCTTATGGCCACGCCATGCTACCCGATAAGTCTTCCCCCTCACTAAACCACATCCGATACACCGGAGGAGCGTGAGCGAATGGCCTGAACATGGACAGGCGGACTGCTTGGAAGTGTTGGTAAACAGCAAACCGGGTGGCGATGCAGAAAAGATACAGGAGGGGGAGGAGAGCGCCGAGGAAGCATGAAAGGTGCGACATAAGGACAGCAGATGCGTGACAGCGGAGGTATAAAACGGGGAAGCCAAGCCGAAAGAGGAGCAGAAGGCTAAGGAGGCGAACAGATAGAGGGCGAAACAGGTGAAACCGTAATTCGGAGGCCCTCAAATATCTTGCCTGTCAGCAATGGGTGTTGCTCGGTTGAAGCGTGCAATCGTCACAAAGTCTTCCGTTGTCTCGTGTGTTATAAACCTACACAGAAAACACAAGACCATCATGCCATCAGCCCTCTTCTCCCTCCGTCTCCGCACTTCTGCCCCTTCCTGTACTGTTGGCTCGGGATGGCTCTCCCCTGTGTGCCCCTTGGTTCTGATTCGTAAGGCCTCCTGCCTTCCTGCCTACCGTCCGTCGATCGGATAGTGGTCGCAGTCGTCTACGTCCCTTGGCACTTCGCAGCTCCATACGCGCACCATTTTCTCCACGCCGCTAGTCGCGAGCATCGGGGGACCCCACAAGCCTAAAGGGCTTTGGGGAGAGGGGCTACAGAGAGCACAAACAACTCCACAAAGCAGGCAGTGCAACGTGACAAGCCACAGCAGCAGCAGTCGCTGCAGCAGCGCAGCAAACAGTTTGAACTCTCGTGACAATGCACAAGTGCATGTTGTTGCAGTGTTCGCGCTCAGAGGTGCTGGCGCAAGGGCGTAGGAGTAGACTGTAGGCTCAACACCCGCCGTAGGCAAATAATAAAGGCATGCACTCAGGAGTGAAACCGTGGAATGCGCTGGCTGCAATCGACACCAAAACGAGAAGACGGCCCAGCAGCCCAGCAGAAGATAAAATTTCACAATAGCAAGCCCCCCATAAGCAAGCAGGAGGAAACAAGATTTTGCAGATACCCTAGGACTGCAAATATTGTTGCATACCTGGCACAGCAGTTCACCACACAGAGATGACCGGGGAGACACACAACCCGCTGGAGGGCTTGCGTTGCTGAGGGCCTTTGGGGTAGAGGAGAAGGCAGCCTCCACATATGAACCTGGAAATCACCATAACCATAACACACTCAATGCTCCCTTTTCACGGTTCCCACACAGCCCTGGCCAGTTGGCAAACGGCAGCAGGGTCCCACGGACTAAACGCCTGCTCCATGAGCGCACGCAAGTGAGGGAGACTCTGAGTAAAGCAGAACCCGATAGATCCCAGGAAGCCTTGCATCCAATCGCTTGCAAACACAACCATATACCCATATAGGACCAGCCCCACCCCGCGTATACAGCACCTTACTTGGAGGTCCTCTGAGCCGCAAGCGACGTGTCTCCCATCAGTAAGGAAGCATCCGCCCTTCATGGTTGTGAAATTGGTGTAGCCGTCGCTTTGCAGCTCAAAGAGTGGCAGCTGCAAACAGCCGAATGGACAGACAGCCCAAGAAGGGGGCCAAGGGAAGCTCTAGGAGCGGAAGTGCAGAACCAACGAAAAGGGGCATGCAGGAAAGAATAAAGACACCGATCTGAAGCTAATCGGACATGCATTGAGGCTCGGAACTCTACAGATTAGCCGTGAGAGAGCGAAGAAACACGTGTGCATGTTGTGAACGCCCTCCTTCCGTGTCACAAGCCACCACCTCCTTAAACACAGGAGATTTGGCGAGGAAGAGATCTACACAGGCTTTTGATCAGCAGTTCAGAACAAATGAAGCACACGAGGAGGCAGAATACAAGCCGCCCGCCTAAAGCCCAGCGATGCACAACGCAGGTGCAGTGCCACGCATGGTGTCCCCGCCTTCGGATGTACCTCCCAATCCGTGCTGTAAATGAGGGGTTCCTTTCTTCTACGGACTGCGAGCAGCAGCTTCCCATCCCAAGAGAAGACTATCTTGTCCACCATTTCGACGCACGGCACGTCTGCCAGAGTTCTTGCGCGGTGTCGATGACGGCTTGCCCCGATCTGCCGAGAGACGGTTCTGTAAGTCGGAAAGCGGATTGCTGGCAGCTGAGCAGCTATGGCCTCGGCTTGCATGAGGGCCTCCCGCACGCCCGGGGGCCCCTCCTGCAGCGAGCCGCCCTCAGCTGCCCCTATGCGATCGCTGGCAGGCCTCTCAGCAGCCCCTAAGGGGCCACTAGAGCCCGCGCCAAAGCTCTCGAGGCCTTGCGCGGCATCCCCCAGCGGCTCCTCACGGTGTCTCTCCCTCCGTCCCCGCTGCCGAGCGCCCACGGGCTGCGCTGCACTGCTGGGAGACCTCTGCCGAGGCTCCTGAGCGCCGGCTCGGATGAGGGGCCCCCTTCCCCCAGAGGACGTCGTCCCCACCCCCTCCTCGCTCCTCGCGAGACAGGGCCCCCGCCTGGCAGCCCCTTGGCTGCGGCGGCCCCGTCGAGTGCCTGAAGACTCCCTGAGTTCTTCCATCCCCTCCGTCGCGGCGCCCCTCGCACTGGACTCGGAGGGGGTTGCAACGGCTGCACGACTCGGCTGCGAGGCCTCCGGGGAAGGCCGTCCCCCCTCTCCCTCCTCCGCTGGAGCTCCCGTTTGGGCAGTATTCGAAGCGGGGGTGCTCGCATGGTGCCTGAGCCTCTCCGAGAGCCGGCGGATTGCAGCTGCAGCCTCGCGCGCTGCTGCACGCTGTGCGACCCGCTGTGGCCTCTGAACGGGCTGCTGAGGGGACCGTGAAGCTCGAATCGCTTCTGGAGGCTGCGTTTCCAGCTCTGCCTGCTGCGCCTCTCGGCAGCGTCTGCGCTGCGGCTGCCAGACATCGGAGGAGAGCGCTGCCGCAGACGCGGCATGCTGCAGTCGCGTCCTAGGCATGACCGATGAAGGTTGCCCAGTGGGCAAGCCACTGGCGCTGCTGCTGGAACTGCTGCGGTTGCTAAGCTCGACGTTTGCCTCCTGCTGCGCCGTGGCAGGGCGGATACAGCGTCGCTTGCCTCTGGCGCTGGGAGGCGTAGCAGCCGCACGGCTTGAAACGTCGTCCGCCTCGTCTTGGTCCGCTTTGCTGCTGCTGCTGCTGCACTTGCTCCTCTGGGGTGGCACTAATTCTTCTGCAGCCGCTGCAGACGACCTCGCAGGAGATTCTGGGGAGCTAAGGGCAGAACACTCCCTCGAGTGACTCTGGCGCCTCGCCTGCCGCTCCTCATGGCTGCCCGCTTGCTCAGAGAGTTTCGCACTCTTCACCGTTTTCACACTGGCACCATCCGAGGGCACGCGCACAGTGGAATCGCCGTCGCTTCCGGACTTGAGGCCACTTTTGCTCCCACCCACAGGGGCCGTGCTGCTGCTGCTGCCTCTGCTTTTCATTCTGCTGCTGTCTTGTTGCGTTGCTGGCGCTGCGCTAGCCGCTCCAGGGTCGGTAATGCCAGCGGAGTCTGGAGAAAGGACTGCGCTATCTCTGCTGAGGCTTCTTTGACGACGGATCCCCCCCCGAACCCGTCTCCGAATAATGCGCTCAAGGTGATTGCTCCTGGCATCGCTGCTGCTGGTGTCTCTGCTGCTGGCGTCTCTGCTGCTGGTGTCTCTGCTGGTGCTGTCTCTGCTGGTGCTCCTGAGGCTCCTCTGTCTGGTGCGTCGTCGCGCCAGAGTTGCGTCTCCTGAAGCGGCTGCTGTGGTTGCCCCGCTTTCAACAGGAGAGTCTGGAGAAGCAATCTGCCAAACCCCCCGAATATGTCTCTGCCTTCTCGCCCTTCGACGCCACTGCCTAGCCCACTGCTCACAACGTATCACGTAGTCCTCCTGACCTAGACTGGTGACGTCCGAGGGCTCATACAAGTCATATTCACCGCTGTTGCTGTCTCCATGGCTGCTACCATCCCTGCTGCTGCTGTCTCTACTGCTGCCGCTGTCTCTGCTGCTGCCGCTGTCTCTGCTGCTGCCGCTGTCTCTGCTGCTGCTACTATTGCTGCTGCTACTACTGCTGCTGCTGCCCAAGGTTCGGCCCCTCCGGTAGCTGGCGCTGACGTTGCTGTATGTGCTACTGCTGCGGCTGCGGTCAATAACATAACCTCGAGGCTTCTCGTCCTCCTCCTTGAGGTCGCTGTCCAAAACTCCCGGAGCCCGTAGCCTCAGCAGGGGCCGTGCAGTGCGCAGGTCCTGTTGCAGTCAGTGGCGGCAGCAATATGACACATAAGCAAGGCTGCACTGCACACTATCCCCTTATGTGGCACTGCCCCCAGACCCTTTTACAGAAAATGCCGCTGTAGCCACGGGTAAATAAAGCGCGTGCAGTTAGGTCGAGGTGTGACCAACGGTGCTGCCCTGAGAAAGACACTCGGCCATCTTCCAGACCTCAACAAGCTCTGGCGTCTGAACGCCTACATGGGCATCCCTGCTTCCAGATAGCAGCTTTTAAACAGAGGGTTCAAGGCTTAATGGACTCGTGCGGCTTACGAGGATGCCGGCTCCGCAACTGCCAGCGTAGGCGAGCTGAAAGGGGAGGGGAAGATGCGGGTCGACGCTCGTGAAGTCTCCTGTGTTTCGCATAACCGGGTGGCTAATCTCTGGCCTCTCTCTGCATCCAGTAGAATGAAGGGAAAAGCACAAAAGAGGCACAGAAGTCACCACACAATGAGGCCGAAATCTCGCCGTCCGCGCGACATCACCTGGATTTTGTTTGAGCGAAAAGAAAAAACGGTGCTTTTTGACGTGCGCCACACAAGAAGGTCAGGTGTGTTGCCATACAGGCGGCGTCTCGTGCTAACCAACGTTTAAGCAGCCCGTGGGAGCAACACAGACTCTCCGAGCTCAACGACGGCATCGTATACACATATATCGTACATCCACGAAGCATAGAGCCCTATGTGCGTTGGCGTTGCACCCAAAGCCGCGCAGATACTCGCAAAGGTCCCGGCGGACCAATGGGAGGAAAGTGTCTTAACTGCATTGACAGGGGAGTGTGCAGTACCGGAAGTCGGCGAGCGCAACAAAACCCGCCTCCAAAGCAGCAGCGGCAATCTGCCCCGCAGTGTCCACGAACTTGGCCTCAAAACAAGCCCTCGTTCGCGCCCGCGGAAAGAAAATAAGCTCATCGTCGGCCGCCTCCAGAATCGCCATCGCCACATTCCTCGCAGCGACTCCAGCAGCCCTACTCCCACTGCCACCATTAGCAGCAGCAGCTCCAGCGGCGGTTGCTTCAGACGCGGTGTTTACGACAGCAACCCCACCATCCGGCCCTTCAAGAGCAGGAGGGGGTGGAAGGGGTGGCGTGGCGTCTGGGTGCGTGAGGGGGAGAGAGAGGGAGCTCATTTCCTCTACCATCGGTCCATGCAGACGGCCGTATATCGAATAAAAGTCGCGAGTCTCAGAGGCAGCAGAAGGGGAGGCTCCAAGGGGCAGACGAGTTACAAGGCCATCATTTGCTGCCGTCAAGGCGTGGCTTCCCAGGGCTGCAGCAGCGGCAGCAGCAATGACAACAAGCTCAGCCCCTACTTCTCCCTTCTCTTCTTCAACGGTACAAGCTCCTGTCCCTTCTGCGTATCAGGAAGAGGAAGGGAAAGACTAGCTGAAGGGCGGGAAGCTGAGCAGCCAGTAGACAAGGCAAGCGAACGTACTGTCAAAGTCAATGCAGAAAATGTTGTCTGTATGTTCGGTTCGCATCGCAGCTTTTGGTATTCGGGGCCACACACGAGGCTCCCAAATGAGCAGACGGAGGTCGTCGCCTCCACTAAAGAGCCAGGGCTCTGTAGGATGAAATCTGAGACGCGAATACGCCGCAAGTCGGAGAAGGAGGAAACAGCAAAACCGCCATTACATGAAGATAGTCAGCGGAAGATATTGCGAGTGGGAGAAAATATACATCGCATAGAGGTAAGTGGGCAGGCACATGCAGTGATATGTGCAGTAACGCTGTCCTTTTGAACGGCCCAACGCGATGTACACATATACATGTATGTAACGAAGGGAAGAAGGCACAACGCATGCGGATGCTGGAGGTGGCACACACGCCGAACAGCAGAGACTCTGAGGGAGAGACCGACGATAAGACGGTGAGTAACGAAGCCAGAATTGAAAAGACATCGAAATACAGGAAGCAAACAGAGAAACAGCCGGTTTTCCGCGGGAGCAGTGTCGCACTTGATAGCATTAACGCATCCTTCATGGCCTCGGAAACGGTAGGATGATCGGAAGAACTCCGTGCGCACACACGCCCTCAGCATCCGCTTTGTTGCCCAAGAGCGGCTAGTTGCCAGCAAGCGACAGCGGCTTGAAGCGCTGCTATTCACGCTGCGGGGGCGATCCATATCCAGCCACACTTTCCCGCCGCCCCAAGGGCCTCTCTCCCTGCCACGTGGATCCGATATCGCAACGCCTTCAGACGAACAAAGGCGCCTAACATCCTCAGAGGCCTCCTCAAGTGCACCAAAGCCGTCAGGTGGGCCGGATAGGACCACTTCTTTATTTTTATTAGTGGCCTGGGGCTGGCTCTCCAAGGGTGCCCTAAGATCGCTCGCGACCCGGCGTTGTTGGATCCCCCGTGCCATCTTCTATCCAATAAGTGATATGATTGATGGTTGATAGGAGGCGTTACGATTCACACCAGGGTAAGGGAAAGTTGGAGGTGCAGAAGCGAGTGGAACGGTGTGGATTGCGCCTCCTTATCGCCATCAAGTCTAGGTCTTTGTCCCGAAAACGCCGCTGCTGCTTCACTCGGCGGTTGCACACCTGTGTGTATGTGTGTAGATCAGCGATAAAAAGAGAACGTGGTGTACGGCAGTGCCACGGCGCTTGCAGCTTTAGACGACGACCAAGTGGACGAGTGCCGTGGGGCCGTCACGCACGATCTGCATAGTGTACATACACACAAAAAGCTGCCCAGCTCGGGAGGCAGCGGAGATCGATAAGCACAACGTCTATGCTGTTTAGAAGGAGGCCCATAGGTCCCTCGTTGTTTTCCGGGCAAGCGGGATTGTTGGGAGCCAAGTGGAATTGTTGCAGCGTGAAGAATACCTGGAATGAAATAGGCGGCACTGTTCATTTTATTATTTTGTCCAATGAGGACGAATGGTGTATTTTCCTTTTCATCGAGAAAGCGCCGACAGGAGATCATGGCCGTCGAGCTTCCAGTCGCATGCAATCCTGTGTTGGGGTGCTTCCTGATTTCCTACTCTATGCAATTGAATAATTTTTGTGTATAATATTAAATTATTCTGTCATGTGGATCCCTATTGTGGCGGCCTTGGTACAGCGGAAGACAGCAGAGTGGCAGCTACTCTGCATACGGTCACCTGCTCACACACCCTGGGGAAACTCACATATGTGTGAAGCATCAGATCTTTTCCAGGGAGAATTATAAGTAGAAATAATTTCTGTCTGGGCCACTAAGCGAAAATACAACGGTAGGTGACAACGGCTTAGTCGCACATCATTGCATATGTTCCCAGGCATATCGCGGTTCCTTGAGGAAACTGCACAAGAATGAATAAACGGTTCGAAGGATCCAACTGGACGCTCATATGAGAATAATTCAGTGAGAAGGACTGAATTCCTGTCTTCCTGCCTTGTTCAGGGCCTGCTGCACGCAGGCAGAGAGCCGTAGGCGGGGGTGTGAGAACGGTTGTTTGTATGCTCACTATGATCGCCATATTCTGTTCAATGAGATGCTGTGTAGGATTGAGAATATATGACAGGCAATGATTAGTGTTGCTGCTCTGAGACATAAGCCTACGTCTTTTGTGTACACTGGGAGCAGCCCAAGGCATGTTGCCAGGGCACAGCTAGCTGCATCACAGCTCTCTCCTTCACCAGTATATGGGGCCCAGAGGGGGCTGGGTAAAATCTGTTGGGCTACTGTACAAAAGAAACAGTAAGTGAGTTGCCAAGCATTGCCTCTTGTCGGCATTGTGACTCCGTGTGGAGACTCAACCAAGACTGCTACACCTTAGAATCACTGAAATGGATTTAGATTGGCCCAAGTTTGGAGTGAACAGTTAGAAGACTTCTCAACGTCTTGTTCTCTATCAGGGGTACCACACGTGTAGTTTGCCCCATAAATCGTGGAGATTTTCTGGACTTGGTTCGTGTCAAATAAAAGGCATCAAATTTTACCGAATACACCTGTTCGGAGATGAGCAGCGTTAGACTGCCGCAGTGATCCATGAAGAATTTGTTTCACATCGCGTTCTGTCAACGATTAGGGGTGACGATTACTGGCGTGGTCTGGACACAACTATAGACGAGAGGGAATAGATGCAGGGAGTAAGAAGTAACACGCCACCATGTGGCTGGCTGCAGTTGGTCCCTGAAGTGAGGATCATGAATCACTTGCATCTAATAAACATGGGCAGTGTGTACATTAGGGTTCCTCTGTAAGTGCGCCATTACTCGTCATTCCGGTAAACGCAGATTTCCTTTGATTCATACTTTGTTGGCTTGTAAACAATGTTTCTTCTGAAAAAAATATATCACTCTGGCCTTCTGGTTACTTGGCTTTAGAATGTAGGATAGGGCCGGTTGACACGGCCAAGGTATCCATAGATTTCAGATTCTGATTTGAGTCATCCTTCTGAGCAAAAATGCCAAGTGCGCGCTGGTTTGGTCTTGGCACCTAACCTAGTCCATACTTTGTAAAGCTCACAAGTTGGTGCTCTAATCGAGAAGTCGGTGCCCATCCTGCGACCATCTGATTTGCCAGATGAAGCAGATCTGGGATATACTACCAAGGAAGTGGCCGTTCGTCTACGTTTTAGCGTTCACAAACCAAGGTTTCACATCTCTCTATTCGTCGATCTATTGCTTCATTATTCTGCTTTAGCAGATGGAGCTGAACGCACATACTAGAAGCAAGGCAGAGATATCTCGGAGAGCGCAGGGAGTTTTAGGTATGTAGACTTGTTACCTCTAAATATTCACCTATGTCATGGCACAGCACACTGTCTGTTGCGACAAGACTACTTTCCCAAACACATAAAGCATTCAGGTGGACTGACTTTATGATGGATTGCGTCGCAAATGCTGCGTTGCGCAGAAACCGGTGAGTCAAATCCTGTATGAAGGCTTGAACTGTGGCAATTCTTACAGGCAGAGGGCGTTTTCTGTATGGAAGAGAACCAGCATTGGAATGTCTTATCTTCTGTCTAACAGGCCCCAAGGAGCACCTGTTACTCGTAATTTATGGCCTACAATACAAGTTATATCTCTGCCCAGCTAATGAATTTTTCCAGCTATTTCCCCATTGCTATGTTCACGTTACCTTGCAAGGCATGCGCCGCTTCAACAGGTGTTGTGCCACAGGCAACTTCAATTGGTGGAGGCTTCTCCTCTCCCGGATTGTTGCAAAAGCAAATAAGCTTTGTGAGCATCGCAAGACATGATCATAGATACACAACGATTGTTGGGGATGCTGATGTCCCACTGGACTTAGAGCCAGTAGGTGCGCGGAGAGCCGCTGCATCGTACTATGCGCCTATGTCACCCACAACGCATCTAATGCCGCTGTGCAGAAGTCTCAGATCCAGACTAAATGCAAGCTGGATAGAAAGTTATTAGTTGCTTTTCAAATGAGACCATTTCATCTCCTTCCCGCGCCCCTCCTAGTTCGAACATGAGGCGAGACGGCTACCTACTGTGCGTGCAGCTGCACCTCGTGCTTAAGGTTTCGAGTATTCTCAGCTAGTTGCACATAACATCTAGCGCACAGCCACATAATACTGCGTCTTGTATCGAGATAGCGGTACTCTTCGGTCAATATGATATTCGAAAAGGCGAGACAACAAGTGTACTCTCCACTGATCCTGAGTTTAGTATACCTGGTGTAGTAGAGAGTGTTTAAGTGCGGCTTGGCCTGCTACGCGGGGACCCTTCTGAATATGTTGATAGCCACAGCCTTGCTGACCCTTTCCTATTGGGCAAAGCAACCCCCATTCTCATCAACAATAGAACAAAAGAACCCAGACCTTCGAAGACACTGGAGTTCTGCTGTGGGTGCTGTGATGGGGTCTTAAGGCTGCAGGTTTTCTAGTAGAGACGCCGGGAGAGGAGTAGTCGTTAAGTAATGCACACCTTTGCAGAAGTATGCTTTTGAGGTTGCAGGCCAGGATGAATGGATAGCTTTCTACCAACCCACGAGCCCCAAGTTTGTTTTAGACTTTGGTACTCGAATACACTCCCGTTGGATTTTGCCATTCCTCTTCTTATCGTGTTTTGTCAGGGCTGGCCCGCTGTGCGGACACTTAGTCAATTTTGTAAAAGGAGTGCGAGGGGGTATTACTCAAGCTTGCATGCTTACCCTTATATATGAAGCCCCGCAGACTTCAAGGGTGACTGCTCCAACAGCATTTGTAGAAAAAACAGTTAAGGCTAAATAATGAATGACTGTTTTAGCGGTAAAATGATGCTGCGCGAGGTGCGAACTATCTCACGGCAGGCTTTGAAGCTATGATAAAGGCTATCGATGCAGTATTATCAGGAGGTTATGCCGCTCTTCCATTACGGAGTATAGCCGCCCCAACGAGGTTTACGGGCACTACAATCGAGTACAAAGGCGGTAGCAGGAATTTCAAGCAAAGTCAAATGAAGAATGACCTTTAGAATATTAACGTGCTTCTATTGACGTTGCTTTATTCTATGTTTCCTAATTAACGCTGTCCCTAGAGCCATTTTGAATTCTTAGTGCATATGTCCCACGGGGCTGGCCTCGGCGGCTGAGCACTTTCGAATTGCCGCATTTTTTGCCCGCCTTTACTTCTACCCCACCATCTTTCATTTATTATAAAGCCTTGGGTTTAATTCTAATGAAAACATTGCATGCTAGATTTCAAGCTCTAAAAACACGTCCTATCGGATCCCACAATTCACGCCTCCCTGAGATCTCTGTAGCACGTACAACCTGCTGCAGCTGCCAAATTGTTCCAAGCGTACTAAGCCTCATCATCTTCAGCTGCTCAGCGTCTTCAGCTCTTTCTTCAATCAGGAGGTGTAGTGAGTGTTCCCCGTATCGCTGCTTTGAGACCAGCGGACAAGCAGCCGCATGTGTGCCATCGAGGGCCGCGCCGTAAGATTTACTTATCCTGTCCGCGACGGGGGCAAGGAGGGCACAGGGAATACTTTGGTTGTATACATGTCTTCGGCCTGCATGCTGGTGCAGCAGCTGCGGTAGCATGGAGTCTGGGCGAGCGACCTTATGGCTGAGTGGGAGTGACACACTTTGGGCCGGTCGCCTGCAGTATCCTTATCTGCGACGTGCCCACCACACTTGCGTTCCCACCGACACACCTTGGCCTTCGTCGTTCGCCATGGCACGTGCACATCATCGACTTCTATCACTCTGCGTTGTGGCATGCGTCTCAGAGGCCTTGGGCTTGTTCCCTTCGTCCCAACCTGAGGCCCGCCAAAACTCATTCTATTAAGTCCGCACAGCAGGCTATTCTCTTTTAGAAGAAAGAAAATGCCAGTCCGTGTTAATCAGCGGGCAGTGGAGGCCCGGGAACGCAAAGCCGCAGCTGCTGCGGCCAAGGCCGCGGCAGCAGAACAGGAGGCGGAACGAAAAAAATGGGAGGACAACGACAGACTCGTGTCACGCAAGCTGGACAGGAAGGTACGTGAATGCTGAACTGTGTTTTACTGACAAATGATCAAAGATGTCACCCTCTAGCAACGGATGTGTCGCAGTTTCAGACCTAATGAATCCTGTATTCACAGCATGCTCACGAGCACTGCCGTGGGGCGATCTTTGGGGGATGGTCTGACGGTTAGTTCTCGAACTGCAAAACTATGCACTTTAGAGATATTGACGACGATGGTGGGAAGTGGCAGCCTTGTATCTTGTACCAGGATCCGAACCGAACGGCAGGCGTTACGCAGAAAAGATTACTGCAACTGAATCGGGAAAAGATTAACTGGACAATGGCTACAGCACGACCTTGTGCGGTAGAAGCGTGTGCTTATATGTGTGGTATATATATATACATATATATTGCAGATCTGTCTACCCACTGCGGGGCCTAAGAATGCTTGTTTCTCTGCACGTTAGGCTGAAACATTGCAGAAGGCCGAGGAGCGATTACAAAGAAAGCAGGAACTGCGGAAGTTAGCCGAGCAGGAGATGCAGACGCTTGCGGGGAACTACACTAAAAAGGTACTCCACTCAATGTGTTCCATTCGCAAATGTTGCTGAACATGCCGCGCGCAGTTAGCTTGCCGTTGCTTGTGGCGCAGCTGATTGCGGGGGCTGCCGCGAATGTCCATCGTAATGCTGCTGAATTCTCTCTGCAGTAGCGGTTGCTTCATCTGGCCTCAAAAATTGCCCTTGCGGGCAGTACTTCCTGCACTTCAAAGAGCGTGGGGTGGCTTTCGTATCTACTTCTCTGTTTCCATATGCAGAATCCTAGCTCCACGAAACTGACGCGCGCTGAGATCCTGAGGCGGCAGCTCAAAGCCGCAGCAATAGAAAAAGAATCGGTTACTCCCTCGGTGGGCACACACAAACACACACACATACGTAAATGTGCTGTAAAAGCAACCCTGCTTGAAGTGAACGCATTTATTGCATGTAGCCCCGCGGGCACTTTTTGGCATTTTTTGTTGTGTGGGTACCTTGAGTCAAATGAGTTTATTTATTTCTTCACTGCTTCATTCCGTCATCATCGATTGCGCCCCCTTCTCGTGCTCTACCCCCAAAGCACCCCCCTTCTCCCGTGCAAATTCTCTTCCTGTTGATAGTGGGCCAGTTAAGTTCATCTAAAGGGCGTGCTCAATTTCAATGGCTGGCTTGTGGCGTGATCAAAGAAGTACTTAATGCGGAAAACTTCGCCAGCGCTTTAATCAGGGTATGAATTGCATGAGATGCCTTTGCTGCTCTAGCATCTAGATCAAAGCCTGTGATATGTCCTTCCTGTATTCTACGCAGGACGATGGCTCTTTGCCATCCCTGGAACCTAACATAAACCACCTCATAAGAGCAGAGACGCTGCAAGCGCAGCTTGAAGGCAAAAATCTCGTGTCCGGTGAGAAATTTAAGTCCATGTTGTGTTATTTTTGAAAATGGCTTGTCTGCATATGGAAAACGTACAGTCGAACAGGCGTGAAATGACAAGCAGCAATGTCTGATTTTGTTCAAAACGCGCACGAGCATAGAGAAAGTCGCGATACATTCACTTTAGACGACGTTGCATTCACTTCGAGCAGGCCACATTTGGCAAGTCTCTGAAGCTAAAACTCCTGCATCAGAGGTTTAAGATGCCTCGCACTGTAGATGGCTTTTCAATAGTATTCCGCGGGTTCATAGTGGATGCACCAAATGTTTGCCTCCAATTTGCTTTTGTCTGGTGCAGCATCTAGCATCGATGACGCGCTGAGCCAGCTGATGGTCTCGGACGCGCCAGGGGAAGACAGGCACCCCGAGCGACGGATGAAGGCGGTAAGTACAAACCGCGGGTCGACTTCCCCTTACTGAGGCTGTTGCTGGGCCCGTGCCTATCAATGCTCTGTGGGAAAACCCAATAGCTCACACGAGGCAGATTGGAACAAACGGAAATGCTTCTAGTGAGTGGTCGCCGAACAGGTCGCGAAAGGCGAATTAGAGGGGGCTACCTGAAGAGATGACATGGCCTCCCCTCTACCTGTTTTACGTTTTCGTGTTTGGGAATAATAACACATATATTTCGTGCGTTTGTTTGCATGCCTTAGGCATTCCGGGTATATGAGGAACAGATGATGCCGCGTCTGAAGGTTGAGAACCCGACGTTGAAACGGTCCCAACTCATGGAACTGCTATTGAAACAGGTACGAAAATGGCTGCTAGCAACCCGTTTGTTGGCGAGCTGCAAGGGTACGGAACAGGCTGCAACGTTGAGAGGGACGGTGAGCTCTTCTATCATGTTTCGAACGTGTGGGTCAGTATTCATGTATTATCATCTTTTTCGGTGTGGTTTCTGGTGTGCCAGTGGAAGAAGGCACCGGAGAACCCTTTCAACCAGACCAGCTGATGCACGGGTGGCAGTGCACAAGCTGCATTTTCCCTACCGATCGCTTGAAGGATACCCGTCAACATCCTTCCTTTCAGGCAAAAACGACGCCTGACTTCACAGGTTTCTCTTTCGTGTGTGTTGACAATTTGAGCCCATTCCAGTCGGGCGCATGGGCCTGCGCATCTCCAATCCAGACCCTACAATATGCGAAAGTGGAGCTTTTGGGGAAACGAGGCCGAATCCGTCCCTCAAAGAACTACAGCACATTATGTGCGTTGCATATTCGCGCTTGGCACTTCTCATATGAACACGATTTGCTAGCTTCAGCATGTTTGGTGGCAAGTGCGTCTGCTGCGGAGGAGAGTTGATTCTGTGGAAAGCGGGAGGGGGAAGGGGGGCGACGGGGTACGCGGCTCCGCTGTGGGCTCCCTGCGTAGGGCATGTCCTATGCTGTCTGTTTGGCTCTAGCACGTTTTTGGTGTGCCATTGGACTACTCTTATAAACGGCATATAATTTAACGAGATGTCGTAATTCCTCTATCGTAATTCCTCTTCCAATCTAGTGGCCTATATGGCAAAGAATGACTCAGCGCGTCTTTCAAGATTTTCAGTTGCATAAGCCAGAGAGAAAGCAGGGCCTCGTCCACGGGTGTTCCTTGGGATGGAGGGAGTGGAGCTGTCTACATTTATACGGGGGCAACGGGCATGCTCGATCACTATATAGGCAAGCGGTGCTGCTCTAGGCATTCGTAGGAAGCTTCCTCAAACAAGTGCCACTTGCAGTGGTGGTGTGGTATGGTAGCGTCATTCTACGCTGTAAGCACATGTGAAACCTGTGATATACGTGGGGCATATGTCTTTGCTTGCCCACTCAAATATCAGAGGAACTACATGATCACTATCTGCCGATTGTGCTAGTGTGCAACTGAATTCTCCAGAAGTAGAGCACGGAACTGCCCACAAGTGAGAACCGGGATGGAAAGCTTCCGCCTTAAGGCATTCTCACTTGTTTCTACAATACACACCACCAGTTATCTGCAGGCACAGAAGAAACAAGGAAGGAAGCTTCTTTTCAGGTTAATTTTGGGGAGTTCCTTTATCCCACCTACTGGGCCAATCCTGTGGACAGTCAGGGTATAGGTGGCCTGCTCTTATGGTTGAAAAAAATAACTCATGGATTGGTATGCTGTAGACAAATCCTGTTGCTCTATGACAGCTTGGCGGCTGCAAGTGCCCATCCGGCACTGCACAGCTCGATTTAGCTATACAAGACGCACTCGCTCTTGACGCATAACAGCTTATCAGGACTCCATTTCAGGTACAGTGTCTGGCCGAACTGGCGTTTCACAACCCCCCGAGAGGAGCTCCGTCTTGGATACTCTTTTCTCCGTCACCTCGTTTGCACACTTCTCAGTCCGAGGGGCCTCAAGTTCTGTCGGGATTGTTTGTACCTCTGGAGCGCCCATGGGGTCTGTAGAGACGCAGCTCGTCGGGCTTTGAGACCCTTCCATATCAGCATCTCTTTGCCACGCAAGCAAATCCCCAGTATCACTTGAAGGCTCCGTGCCCGCGAAAGTAGCTCCTGCAGAAGCTGCCCTGTCGGCCCGTAACTCCAATGTGACTGAGCCTCTCGGCAAGGATTTGTGCTGGCAGCGTTCGCTTCGTGCAAGAAACGGACGCCGTGTGTTGAAAAGTCGTGTTAGCGGTAGCCCTTCGCGACCCACTCGCGAACTTCCAGCTGAGGGGGATCGCCAACTTCCTGGCGTATCGATGTTGGAGATTGCTTGCCGCTCGTTTCTGCCTTCTGCTATTAGAGGGTAGGCGGCCGGGGGAATGCTGCTAAAGAGCGGCATCGACTTTGCGGCTTGGTGGCGCTCCCTTAGAACTTCCCAACCAGAAGGCTGCGAGGCTGCTACTGTCCGCAACGTGGATAGACGTGCAGGGGGCAGCGACTGGTCAGCAAGCAGTTCATGGGCTGCCTGCCACATGGACCGCGCTACAGTGCCCAAGGTGCGTGTCTGCTCCTGCCGAACAGCTTCTGAACGACTCTCGCTCTCACCTTCGCCAGCGTTTTGCAACTCGTTTCCCTCTTCAAGGTGCACGATAAGATCGTTGCTGCTGCTTGTACGCTGTACAAACAAGAATGCCTCCTCCAGTAGCCCTTCTCCTCCCGTGGGTCTTTGGCACTCCCGGATATCCTCTTCTGTTTCCGGATCCTCTGCATCTCTTTCCGTCATAACAGCATGTTCCAAGCGTCGAAGCACCTGTGAGACTCCAGAGGTCAGCAACCCCTTAACGCTCTTGCCCAAACTGCTGCCCCCTCTTGGCGTGCCGGCACTGACGTCCCCGGCAGTGGCCCCAAGGCAGCCACTGCGTTTCCGCAGAGTTTCATTAGCTCTCCCCGAACCTCCACCTCCTTGCGCGTCACCAGCTGGAGAACCACTTGTCCATCCCTCTGTTCGGCCAGGAATATGGTCTGCCTCGGAGGAGGCGGATGCAGGGCTTTCTAGGCCTCTGTCAGAGCGACTGTCTGTTTCCGCTTGACGCTGCAACGAGCCAGGCCGCGCCTCCTCAGAAAGCCTCTTACTGCGTCCTATCAAGGCGGGAACGCTGTTTCCGCGTTGCAACAATAGCCTAGGGATGCGCCACGACTGTAGAGGCTCCCGATCGGTCAGAAGCGGCTCTGGCGCTTGTACCTCCTGCAAGGCCGTCTTGTGAAAGTCCGTCAGCGCCTCCAGCTCGTCAACACGTGCCAGGGCATTTGCGTAATCTTCGCGAGTGCGTATTAACTGTCCTCTGAGCAGTTTCAGATCCTTAGCCAGATCCTAAGCGGAGATTGCAAGCGACACAGCAAAAAAAATGATGTGCTGTGACGAACCGAGGGATACAGAGAGCTCCTGCCAAAAGATAGCCGGGCCCAACCAGTCAGCAAGCAAGACCACAAACACAACAGAACAGTCTTAAGTGAGAACGAGCCTGCGAAACCATGAATCAGCTTGTGGCTTGCACCAACGCCTTGTCTATAGCATCCCCGCACGGCATCCATAGAGCGAAGGCTAGGACCATGGAAAATATGCATGCCTCCGACCTTGTTCCGCGCCACAACGGTTCTTAGGGCCAATTGGTATTCTTCAATGCGAAAGCCACCGGCAGCTGCTACGTCCTGCAGCGCTCATCAAATGATCACAGTTGTCTCTTTCGGGCTGCAAGTGCGTGCAGCTGAAGGGTGATGATTTGAAATGTAGAACGGGGGATGCACGCAGTAGCCCCTCTTTATCGCACTACTACAGAACAAAAGGCATCAGTTTCCTCACTGCTGCTTCTGCTCGCGCCACATCGAGCTCCCCCTTCAGTGTCTTGTTCTCCCTCCGGAGTGTATCCATTTCATCCGTCATCTTCTTCAGCTCAGCTCTCAGCCCCTCTACTTCGCGCTGCGAACGCAGGAGGTACAGACCTAAGAATCTGCACACGGAGAGATGTGTTCGGATACAGACAGGATATCAAACGGCCTTAAGAATGCTTCCAGGTGAGCTTTATGTCACGCTTCCTCTCTGTACGCCCGTAGATATGGAACAACCGGGTTACCTCCTTCATTGTTAATTGCGCTTGATAGCTCTGAACACGGCGGTGCTTCTCTGCAACGCTGTCTTGAATGCCGCTTTGTATCTGCTGGAGCGTGGACTCCAAGTCGTCCCTTTCTTGAGCCGTCGTCAGCAGCGCAGTTTCACATTCGCGGAGCTTTCTAACAAGAAAGGACTTCACCTGAAGGCCCAAGACAGCAGTAGCGCTGTAGCGAATGAGTGGTGCTACAATGCGCTCACCAGGCACACAAAGGTGGCTGGCTGGGTCAAGTCACTAGCCTAAATTGAAGCTGGATAGATCCACAGAAATAAACGAGACGGAGCTTATGGTAGCATGAGGTCATTCATGGAGGGAATCTAGTTGAGCCACCTACTTGCTGCAGGTTGGCTATCATCGCTTCCATGTCTTCTTGTAGAAGCTTGGTCGCTGCTAGTTCGCTCCTGGTGGCGGCTGACGTAGCCAGGTCGATTTCCTCTTTTAATAGCCTCTCCAACTCTGTGCCCTCCTCTGACCCCCCGAAAATCCAAGAGCCCATAAAGGGTCGAGACCGAGCAGGCTGGGGTGGCAGAGAGCTTACCCCCTGAAAGGAGGCATCTTTGGAGCGCTCGTAATTGGTCGCTCGCAAGTGCTGCTTTGATGTTGCCGCAGGCACTTCAACTGTTGGGAAAGTCACCTCGGAATCTACTGCCTTGACAGATAGGCGGTCAGCAGTCGGTGTATGCGTCGCATGGGTCTCAGCGGCCATGTCTTCTCCTACTAGAGTGCTGAGGCGTTTATCGTTCTCTTGTACTGCACACGGGTCGTCTGGTTTGCCGCAGTGGCCAGCTCTTGCTCCAGCCGTTTGTTGGCTTGTCTCCTTTGGAGCATTGGTGTTGCTTCGGAGTAGGCTTTCGTCTGCTTGTGCAGCCGCGCGCACCGTTTCTGCGTTCAGGTACCCGTAGGGGTGCCGGTTATACGCCCCCCATCGAGGCAAAGAATAAGCGGTCTTGATAAAAGTAATCGGAGCTGACGGGTATATGATTCGACTGCTCAACTGGACGCCACCATTGCCCGAGCTTGGCACAGAAGCGGCACAACTCGAAGCATTCGGCACAGGGGCTGAGTGTCGCAAAGAGGCGTTGTCGCTGCACACATCTGCGAGGGCAGTTGCAGTGCCACCCTGCAGACGCAGCTGACTGTCCCTGTCTGCCTCTCTCCGTTTAGATTGGACAGGCCCACTTGCGTCACCAACCGTGGTTTCCCCTGGGCTGGCAGCCTGGGTGGCCGACCCCTGTTGGGGCCCACCCAGGATATTATCCGACTGAGATGGTCTTGAAGCCTCTTCGGAAAAAGCGGGACAAAATGCTGCAGCTGCCACTGGAACTTCGTGGACTGGCGTCCTTTGTCTCTCAGCTGGCATTCGAGCGACGTTGTCGCTAAAGGACATCGCGGCGGTAGCCCTCGCCTCAAGGGCAGCTATGATAAGGAGCGCTGCACTCGATTTTGCGGCACACTTTGCGGAATTGTCCTCAAAAGGGTTCTAATGGCCTCACCACAAGAACACCACACGACCCCTTGTCGCGGAAGATCTAGAGCCCATTTTGCCAGCACCGCACTGACAGCTACTTCGAAGCCTCAACTTCGCGTCACTTGACTCTATAAACGCCCTCGACCAATATATAAGCCTGCCTCCTCAATCCAGGCGGCGATACAACAGAGCAGGAGGGAGCCCCCGACAACGAACGCTTACAGCCATGCAATCGACCTCCAACTCAAATTACATGCCGAGATATTGCTCAAAGAGCTACAAAAAGCTAATTAATACGTCAAAACACTCCAATAGGTCCTGGTAGCTTGAAGTCGTTAGCATGCTCGATCTGCGCCGTTTTCTGCGGTGCAAAGGCACCAGGACGCTTTTGTAATGACCAAAGACAGATGCAAGTAGGACGGACTAGTTTGGGAAGCGTCTTCTGCTCGTGCATGTCCTTTTATTCAGAATAAACCAAACTTGGTTCTTCCTGCTTATTTCAGAGTAGCATGGCTGTTGTAAAAGCTTATTTAGCTACGCAGTACCGCTATAGCCCCATTCCCATCAAAACTAGCCCTCCAAAACTAGTCCCTAAACTAGTGAATAAAGAACATGAGTGGTTTCAAAGGGAAAATTCTGCTATTTTGGGGCGGGCGTTATATTTGGCGGTGGTCAATCTTATCGATTTATCACCAACATCAACCCAGTGGTTCAAATTAATTAAATGGCGATGACTGCCTGTTCAGAACATTTAATCGCTACCATGTCGGCATACATTGTGCATTCAAGGGAACGCGACCCTGAAAAGGGGTCTTCGAGGCTAAAACACGCAAAAATATATTTACTATCAAGGTTTCCTTGCTGCGCTATTCTGGCCGTGCAGCACCCTTGCACTACCGGTCAAGTAGAACTCTCTCGCTTTAGGCGCAGTATGTAATAATTCATATGAAATATGGAGCTATATAGATCGTTATCTGCGAACGAAATCCAACTGCTCTACAGGTCTGACTAGACGTAGGTAGCATCTGGAGTAATAATGTAGCGGGCATAGCTACACTTGAGCACTTTCACTACACCAGTTATGTTTGCTAATTGTGACTGAGAGAATTTTAAAAATTGTCTTGTCTCCTTGTATATCTTATTTGCCTCAGATTACTGCTAGCTCGTTACAAAACAGACGCAATGTTGTGTGCTTGTGCGATAAATGCCATGTGCAACTAGCCGTAAATACTCGGCGCCCTTAGGGGGTGCAACCGCATGCAATCTGGCTGTGACTCTCCCCTGGTTTCGGAACTTCGCGGGGTGCGGACGGTAGAAGGTAAAGACCTTCGTGAGAAACCACTCAATAGCTGCCGATTATGCTTTCATGGATGGTGGAGTTCAGCATCTCTATACAAGGACCTTCAGTGCAGCCTTGCTGTCGGTTAAGCCGCACGGGTTAATGCAACAAAGCCTTGCACGCCTCCTCAATGTAGATGCAACTGCACTCTTATTTCTTGTGGAGAAGCATCCGGCGGCGGACATTTGCGGTGGCACAATACCTGTTGAGGCGGCACACATCGAACAGTAAACTGGGGTGAGCACAGCAGCTCCACGATTAGTAGAGCAAGCTTTGCGGACAAAACCAAAGGTGCGCGATGCATCGATTAGGCTATGCCTTTAATAAAGTTACGGAGGCTGTATCAATAGGCGAGTGGTTGAAGAATTAATTAGCCTGTTGGAGATACAGCTTGCGTTGACGCCCATAGATCAAGAAAAACGAGTGTTTCTTCCAGAAAATTTGTTAATGGTGAAGCATTTGACACTTGCCCTCTTTCATGCATAAATCACCTTGCGCCCGAAGGGATTGCTACAGGTCATGCCTTCATCCAGGCACTGAATCACCGTTTCCTGCTGTGATCATTGTAACAACAAGCATTGGGAGAATTGAGAATGCTAAAATAGAACAATATCTTAATATATCAGCAGCTTAAAAAAATGCAGTCCATGGCTAGCACAATTTACAACGGAGACGAGCAGCTACCTCTTTTGTGGTATATCAAGATCTGCTTGAACTGCCACTCAAGGTGGTCGGAGGATGGACAGCCACTCGTTGATTAGAGCAACAGCCTGTGGGACTTCACAAAGTATAGGCTAGTTGAGGTTCTATGAACAAATCAATGTAAGCTGTGCGTCGGCGGCTCGAAATGCTGACTCCAACCAGGATTTAAAACGAATGGATGTCAGGGCCGTGTTAACCAGTCCTAGCCTACAGTCTGAAGCCAACGAACCGGAAAGCCAGAGAGGGTTGAAGCTCCTGAGCAACTCTGCACAGCCTGTCATGGATGCCCGAGTTTTTTTGTGGAAGATTAATTCACGTACTTCAAGGCTGCTACCGTATGAAGCGCCAACGATCTTGAGTAATGGCACTCTATGAAACGCAGGCTGCCTGTCGAGAAAAAAAGGCGCATCAGCGTAAGGGAGAGTTTCCCACGGAGGCTGCACCGCAGTGGAGAAGGCTACAGACAATGTAGCCAGAGTTGAGGACTCACCACGCCTAAGTTGTGGGTCGAAGGAGCTTAATATTAATGGTCAAGAATTGTTAGCAATTTGGGGATTTAGATGT